ATTCATGTATTCAACCAGGTGTAGAAGTATTTCTGCAGTTGAACACTGAAGAGTGTTTTCTAATAATGATAGCAGTAAAAGAGTGAAATCATACTTGAAATGAAGGGAGGGAATCAAATGTTGGAGTCATCAATGTTGAGGGTTCTTTTATCGAGTGGTCAAGAATGCTGGGACTTGTGTTTCCATGGCCATCGTGGGTGTCACTTCCATTTATCAAGAAGCCACTGTCATTGTCAATTACACCGTCAATGTTTTCTACAAAATGAACAATGGAAAATTACAACAATTAATTTTAACAATGCCATATTCTCTTACCTATTAAAGACAGAAACCTTACTGTTTTCCGTATTGCAATTGTATCACGAAGGTACAATAGAGTGGAGAAGTGTGATGTCATGTTGCCATGGTAGCAAATTTCTGGAGTTAGCAATCTTTCTCATGAGAGATGGCCGTTTTTGTTTCTGAGTGCAATCATGTGTAGGAAAGTCATACATGTCAATTTTTTTATTGTTTTCTGCTATGTTTTCATGACCATGCTTTGTTGAACTCCAGAAATTTGGCTACCATGGCAATGTGATGTAACTACGTCTCCTCTCTATTTCACCCGCGGCGAAACTTTCTCTAAATGGTCCAAAAGGAGTCTTTTGTTTTGGTGTTAAGCTTTTCAATTATCAACCTTTGAGTCGTTGATGAGAGGACGATGGAGGAGAGGGAGGGGTGCAATGATTGAAAGGCAGGCACAGTCTTGGACATTCTCGAGAAGGTGAGTTTGTGTCACTAATAACAGGGTGCTACCACAAAAAAATTCCTTGAAAACATTTGCAATTCCATAATACAAGTGAAAGCACAAGAAATTTTAGACAAACCAAATGAACTTGAGTACGACAGCGAGACTGGACAACCGGCCATAAGAACTAGACAAGTAAGAAATTAATACACCGCAAAAGAAAATTAAATCTAACAAAAAACCCAAGACGAAAAAACTAGATTTTAGTTGCCTCTATAACTATAATTGATCTTCTCCCATGTAATTCTTCATTCTGGATTTCTCATTTATGATTTTGGTATATATATTACGTCAATTGGGCACCTTATATTACTAATGGGTAGATGTTTAACTGAACTAAACTCCTGTCGCTGGCACTCACTATTACGGACAATTGACCACAGATTTGCCCCGTCCCTCCCTTTTTTCTTGCATCGAGACCATCTCTAATTAAAATTCTGCACAAAAGTTTTTCTCTAAGGTAAACACACGTTTTTTTTTTCCTCGCAAAATTGAGCTAAACATACCTAATGACTCTGTTGAAGAATTGAGAACAAGAGGATCCTGTTGAGAATACAGCTCCATGGGCTTTGTCAGGTAAATAGAGGGCTGGGATATGAAATGTATAGATAACAAACAATTAATAATTCAAGTGGTAATAATGGCGATGAAGTTAGATTGTTAATGGGAATGATATTGAGAAGATACGATGATCATTGGTATTAGTTTGAAGAGGATACAGATGATGAATATCTTGCAAGGCAGAGGACGATGATGTTGATGATGAAGATGTTAAGAGGAGGAGAAAGATACTGATGATGATTATAAAAGGTGCTGAAGAGGAAGGGGACAATAATGAGACATTGGAAGATGACGAGGATGAGATGATGGTGATAATGAGGATGGGGACTCTGAAAAGAATGACCGTAATAATTATGCATTAGAGAGAGTAAATGATGATAACGATGGGACAGAGGAAGATAATGATAACAAGGAATTGGAAGATGATGATGATGATGATGATGTATAAGATGAATTCGGTGATGACGAAGTTATTGAAGATGAGGATGAGGATGTTAAAGAGGAAGGGGATGATAATGAGAAAGTGGAAGACGATATTGTGGTGATCGAGATAGTGATGACGAGGACCCTGAGGTTTTTGGAGAGGATGGGAATGATAATAAGGAAGCGGAAGATGATGAGGAAGAGGATCCTCAATAGGATGGTGGTGATGATGAAGATGTTACAGAGGAAGAAGATGATGATTTTTTTGGAGAGGATGGGGATGATACTGAGGAAGTGGAAGATGATGACAATGATAATGGTGATGATGACAAAGAGTATCCTAAAGAGGATGGTGTTGATGATGAAGATGTTACACAAGAAGAAAAAGAAGAAGAAGAAGAAGAAGAAGAAGAAGAAGAAGATATATACAACATGAACAAAAGTTGTTAATTAAATTATAAAATTAATGTGACAAGGAAGCCTAACGAAACTTGAAGCTTATACTAATAGGCTTCCTTCAACTACCTAATGAAGGTGCTAATATGAAGATGCCATAGGGGAAAATCCTGAGAATAAGTGGAAAGGAAAGAAAGGTGAAAAATGAAGATACTGATGAGGAGATAAGCCATTCATCTCCTTAGTTAGCCTCACTATCACTCAGTCAATACATCAAAGCCTTGGCCTGAGATTTCCTGGTAATGACCTAACTCTCAGTTAATAAGTGTTATACAATAAAAAGGGAGTGAAGAAAAGAGATGACGAGGAAAATGATGATAAAAGAAAGAAGATTATGAAGAAGAACAGGCCAGATGATGTTAGCCTGCGAGCAAGCTCTCCATTTGGGGAATATCGTGAAAAGCACACATGTGAGAGGTACGCGAGAGGAGACGCCCCTCGTGGCTTTGCCGCTTGCTCGCAGGCTAAGATGATGTTGGCAGTGTTGAAAAGGAAAAAAAAGACAAAAATGACAAAGATGAGCCATTCAATCCTGACATCATTAAAATATGTGGGTTGAGTCTGTTGTTGATTCTCTCCATTGCTCTGAGATATTTTTCTCCAGGTACTCAGGTTTTCCCCTCACCTCAAAACCAACATTTCCAAATTCCAATTCGACCAGGAACAGTAGATGAAGAACCACTTTGAGGATGAGCTACCTATAAAGCATCACTTTTATATTTTATTTAATAGGCTATTCAGGTTATTGCTACAGTGTACAGAGACTGGTCTTTGTTAAATTCCTTACCGATAGACTATTTATATGGTTCTGTGATGAACCAGAATGGCTGTCAGACTTTACAGAGTGTGATGTACTGTCTAAAAGAGGAAAGAAAACAGAAAGACAGAAACAATGAATAGCAACACAGAATGAATGTAGTCTGGTAGAATTTAAAATCCAAAGTTGTGGAAAATCAGGATGAGCAGTTCCAGAGACTTGTAAATTAAAAATGATGGGTTTTACCATAGAAAGGCTTAATGGGTGAGCTTTACTTATAGCAAGTGATAGAAAGAAAATATTTAAATTATCTGATCCTTATAACTAGAGCTATACAATAATCTCCAGCCTTACTCAGGGAATCAGTTACATGTATGTTGCCAGTCAAAATAATGATTCAAAAAGGTCTCCAAGACAGGATAAATTATAACTTAGGACTCCAACATATTTTTACTTTGTCAGGTACAGTAAACACCCACATATAAGGACACATGAATTCAGGGTTCAGGCTTATCTAGTTCTTAGTCTATTTATCGGGCGCCTAGTGAGAAATCAGCCTGAAGATGTTCTTAATATGTTCGTAACTAGAGGTTTAGCAAGGACATTTTATTGTTAATAAATAAGTAAGTAAACAAATCAGTAAATCAATAAATAAAATAAAAATTTGTCAGGTAGTAAAGTTAAGTTAAAATTAACAAGTAGAAATGTAACATTAGTTTCAACATTTTTAAATATTTCTTACAGTTATGCTAACTCAACTGGGGCCACCATTGCCTTGTCAGCCAATCAAACTTGCTTTCATTAGTAAAGACTCATACTGTAGGATTGCATTTCAAATTAGGAGTAAAAACAGGGTCCATACTCTTTCGAGCTCTTCAAATTCCATGACCTTTATAGCTTTTCCAAGACCTTAGGTTTAGTTGTCATTTTCAAAAATTTTAAAAACTTCTGTTGTTTTAGGGTATTTTTCGATCTTAAACAGTTCAATGGGTACGAACTCTGGTGTCCACCAAAATGCGTGCCATTTGTGCTGTTTAATTACTTTTCTTTATCTTACATTGTCCTTGCCTTGTCATCTTCAGTAACTGATCTATCAAACACAGATTTAATTTTCCATGACTTTCAAGGACCGACAACTAAATTCCATGACTTTCCTGGCGTGGAAAATGAAATGCTTAGATTCCATGAGCTTCCAGGTTTTACATTGACCTGTACAAACCCGGACAAATGTGATAAGCCAATCCGAAACTCTAGCAAGGGTGGCCCCGGTTGAGTTGGCATCATTGTAGTTCCATAGACCAGTTACTAATGCCCTACAGTACCCCTGCAGTTGCTCAAATGGTCCTCAACTGTGATGCAAGCTATAAACTTAAGTCAACACAAGAAACTGCATTCTGTACATAGTTTTGCTACGTATTTCAAGTCTCCAGGTCTGATAATTCTCCAAACCTTGAGGGGAAATTTTATCATCTCCTGAACCATCTACTGTAATCAAACAGCCTGTTTTGTAATCAAACAACCTCCTTAAAAACTTGATCTCCATTTTGTTTCAGCTCAGTCTATGCCTCCCCAGTCCTCTGAGTCATTAAGACTCATCTGTCCTTTGCTGAAAGTTTGTCATGCCATTTTATCAAGATTGTCCTCTTTCTCCAACCAACTGTCCATAGCAGCAGCTATCTTCAATTTCATCATTTGCCCACATCCTCCATCTATGTGTTGAATTTTGTCTGTGTGGTTTTCAGGTAGCATATATAAGGTAGCATTGATTTCGTTCCTACATTCTTCAAGGAACTCTTTAGTCTGCTGGAAAGTTACATTGCTTTCTTATTCCTACACCCTCTCCCTTATTATATAAGGACATGTTTTATTTATCAGGCTGAAACTGGTTCTTATATATAATTATGGTGCTTTATGGGCCAAATAATTTTCAGCCTGATGTTCTTAATCCATTTGTTCTTATATGCTGGTATTTACGGTATTCCAGAAATAGTGCAAACCCTATACGTGCCTCGTACACTAACCTGGACTAGCAGGACTGTCACTCAAAAGGACTTTATTCCCCTGTCTACCTTCAGATGAGGGGGGAATGGATTGTACATGACCTTCCATCTCAGATCTCTTTCTTTTCATTGATTGATGAAAGTCAGTTTCAGCCTCATTAACAGACAGCTTTTTGTCAGATATTTGAGAGAAATGCCAGGTGTTTTGGCTAAACAGTTCATCAAAATTCATTGTCAGCGGTTTACTCAAAGTCTGATCAATGTTACTTTGTCCAGTGTTAACTTCCAAACCCTTGCCTTTGTGTTTATACTTTTCTTTCAAGGAACTATTTGCCATGCTGTGAATTGGAGACAAGTTCTTTTTTGATGCTATGCAAGGCTCACTAGCAGTACTATTTTTCAACTGTGATGAATCAGGATTCACCTTTGTGATTCCAAGTTGATTACGCTGAGAAGTGGATTCCCTCCGTGTTAAAGGCCCTTGTTTAATTCTAGTGTACATGTAATCCTCCTGACTTTCTCTAGTTTCATTTCCAGCACAAGGGGGTGCACTGTCTACATCATAGGAAATGCTACTTTCAAGTAATTTTTCTAGCTGAGATTCAGATAAAGAACAACCCAAATGTTTAGCAGCATGTCCAGGTAAAACACTTGGAAGTGCTTGTTCATACTCCTCACTGTTATCACTTGATGGAACAACAAAAATCTCGGGGGACCTCTTTTCTGAAGAAGGTAGTGACCTTTCTTTGAGAATAGAGAATGATTCCTCACTACTTCCTTTTAGTTTGGACTGTTCACTTAAGGATGAACACTGATCTTCAGCTACTACACCCCTTAAAGGTGGAGTTACTTTTCCACTCATTTGGGAAGAAGAGACTACATAACTGCTTATCAATGCACTAGCAATTTCCTCTTGCTCTGTAGCAAGGTCATTTCCTTTTCCTTTAATGTGATATTCTGGAAAATGATATTGACCTAATCCTTGTAACATCCCAGCCTGGTTGGACCTTTTTGGCACATAACTTGCAGGCAAGTATCCTTTGGATGATGGAATATTTTTACCTGCCATCTTAAGACAATTCCCATTTCTAGCCTTCTCCATGACTTGATTAGAATTGTCATCACCAAGAAATTCCCATGTTTCTAATCTTTTAACATCTGTTTGTTTAGTTGTTGGTTTTAGCAACCTCTGAGAAGAACTAGCCACCGATTGTTCTCCTCTTGTGGGTGAAGAACAAGAATTAACAGATTTTCTACAACTCTCCAGATAAGCAGCAGTATCATCAAATCTGAACACAGTCTCTTCTCTTTGGTTTTGTTTCTCTAGTGTAGATATACTTGAAAGGGCACCCTTAATTTCCTTAAACAGTGAAGAACTTTCTTGTCTCCATGTTGAACTTTTTTGTAAGCTGCATGCAACTCTTGTCCAATCAGACGTCTTCTGTGATTTACTGCCAATTGTTTCTTCAACAGTTTTTTCAATGCGGAAACCCTTATCTTTGGATGTAGTTTGGGATTGCGAAAAGTTCCTATTCTCACTTGAAGACAAGGACCTTGGAATGATTATTTTTTCCTGAACTTGTATCGACCGTCCACAATCTACAGCCATGAATGAAGCAGAAATTTGAGCTTGTCCTCTGCCACTTGATAGTGTGTCACTAAATGATGTCACCTCACTTTGCATATTGCAAGAAAGTGGTGGATGATAACTTGGTTGCCATTCTAAAAGAGGGTAAAAACAGAGTGTGGTAAAGTTACAATATATAGTATTAACGAAAGTCAGTCTGTTACCTGTACAATGTAAAAAAAAAATGGTAATTTGTTTACCCATAGAGCACTTAGGAGTTTTTAAGAACTCGTTGACACATGTCCTTGCATTCCAGATCGAATTGGAATTTGGAAGTGTTGATTTTTAAGGAGAGGGGAAAACCGAAGTACCTGGAGAAAAATCCCTTGAAGTAAGGGAGAGAACCAACAACAAACTCAACCCACATATGGCATTGACGCCGGGATTCGAACCAGGGCCACATCGATGGGAGGTGAGTGCTCTCACTACTGCGCCACCCTTGCTATCCCCATGAGATTCAATACTTAACAAGTTTTCTTTGAAATCGAGGTGAATAGTGGCTGAATATTTACCAAGATTGAAAAGAATAATTGTTTTAGTATATACACACAAAGTGATCTCAACAAAATCAGAGAGGAAACCATTAAAAAGTATGATTTAATAATATTGCCGGATCAAATCGCGTGGCAGTTTAAAAATAGATCTTTACAGAATTTTCAAACATGGCGTTTCACAAGTTTATCACTCCGCAAACAACAGCTTAATGGCTTAAATGGAACCGTTAAAAGTTTGACTTGTTTCCTTACGTGAGAAGAAAAGTAGAGCTTTGTTGTTTACTGTTGACTCACCAAGTTTATAGCCAAAAGGGTTTGTAGTGTCGTTGTTTGCATGAAGTGCTGACAAAAATGGCGGCTCGGTTGCTCGAGGTAAGACATTGTCTTCCTGTAGCATTCTTTTTCCTATTTACTTGAAACGTAGAATTTCTGCAAACATTTGCTTTCAAATTTGTTTGTCATAAATAAACTTTGATTTTGGGCCAATTTTCTTGTTAGGAAACACTAAGTTCACGAAACGGCTTCTTCTACCCGAATGAACAGGAGTTGTAAACAATCCATTGAGCACAAAATTCAGCCACAGTAAATGGAAAAACACCATTTTGAATCCTTCCAAGTCTTACCTTGTCTTAAAAAAGGCAACCCTAGGATTTTGCCGACTTTTAAAAGATTGTTCTCTAAAAAACACTGAGCTCACACATTATGCACTCACTAGGAGGTGAATATTGTTGAATAGTCCGAGATAGTGAACCAATCAGATTGCTTATATCACCAAGATCACTGAGTGTGTATATACTAATATAAAATAAAAAACTAAAATCAAAGATGATAGAGAAACTAGATTACTATAGGACTTCATTGATCAATATTGGAACTAAACTAAAGGTACACTTGAGGCCTCACAGGACTAGAGGTTGATAATTTTTTGATTTAACGGGAAATAGAATTAAATATTTAGGGCACGACCTCTAGTGAGCAATATCCCACTAAACCCAAAGACCGCCCCACATACGATTAGTGGTGGAGACTGCTGGCCAGCATTGTCTTGTTTTTAACCTCGCCTAAATGGCATGATTTAGCCACATCAAAATTACTGCCAGAATTGCCCCGAGACTTAAAGATCTGAAATTGAAGGTGTTTGAGGTATACATTGTTATTACTACAAATAATATTATTACTTTTTATGGTATTATTGTTTCTCGTCTAGTCTGGTCAACACATAACGCAAAAAATGTTAGAGGCAAGCAGGTTTCCATTTAGTCTGGGCATGTCCTGCCTTCACCTACCGGTAACTTATTTTTTTTGCTTCAAATGCTCAGTTAAAGAAGGATAACCCAGTCTATTGGATGCCAAATTCATAAAGTTCATAAAGGAAATAATTTACCTGGAATTGTAGCCAATTTCTTTTCCATGTCTTCAGGTATAAAGACAGGTTCGTGGTTTTCTAACAAGGTTCTCTCAAGTTCTTTGATGCTAGAAAGCTTGTTTCCACCTTCTGCCTCTCTGGCATCAAAGCTTTTATCATAGAGCAGAGTCTTGAACTGTGATACTGTACATAGCTCATGCAGTCTAGGCTGTAGAGGGGGATATTTTGAGCTGTCAACGACATCACTTCCAAACTGAGTGTTTCCTTCACCACCAGCAAACTTGAACAGATCTATCTTCATCACAAACTCAGCAGTGCTCTGAAAAAGGTCGAAGTACATTGTAGCGATCATTGCAATGGATGTATTATTACCATGAAGCAAGGCCTACTGGTATAGGTTGTTATAGGCTTGCAGCTGTGTTGCTTACTTTGTTGTGTGCTGTTTACACGAGGGTAAATAAAACTTAAGGCTCCTTCAGACCAAAGCTTAAACATGTTTTAAAAGCTGTTTAGTTAAACACAGTTTAAATTAATAATTGTTTCCTAAGCTGCTTACTGACTTAAGTTGTTTGCAGATTACAAAAAACGTTGAATTTCATTTGAATCCTGTGTGAAAACCTGTGTTCCAGATTTCCTCGTCTGTTTGTCATTTTTTAAAACCTGGTTTAATTAAACATGTTTAGTTGCGAATGGGGCATTAGTCTAAGTACAAGATGCGTCAGTTGTTACAAAGTAAATTCTGCAAGTTTTATTTGAACTAAAAAGAGTCTACTGAAGATTTAAGGAGAAGGAAGCAAAAATAAGAGTTTATTGAAAATGTGGAGCGCCTATCATGAGGTGCAGTCCCATGCGTGGGTAGGTAACTATAAAGTATTGTGATAAGAACATTGAAAACTATTGATACTAAAAACAATAACAATAAATTCAGCTATACCAAATCTTTTTCAGTTGTACATGTGGCTTCAAGGGAGTACTTCTTAATAAAGATCAGGCCACCTTGAATGTCTGCCATTGAAAGGGTTGGGTTATCTCTGAAAGAGGAAAAACATACATTTACAGATGTACATGACTTGTACACATACTGTCAAAACGTAAACCTCTCCTCACTCTTTACCTTCACTTGTCTTTTCAATGTGGTTAGTTTAGCATACGAGATCAGTACACTACCTGTAGTTGGAAATGTTATTATATGAAACGTACAGTATGACCAAGTGCAGAGTCAAAATCAATCGGAAACAAAGCCGAAAACTAAACAGTGTGCTAATGACAAGCTAAAAGAAAGCTTCTTGAAAGAAACTTAACACCAAATCTAATGCCTGTTTTCCTTAGTCTTCAAGGTAACGCTAAGTGAAATATTGTTTGTTGGTTTCTTGCTGGACATATCGTCAATAATTTACGCCAAAAATTGCTGGTTCAATGATTCTCGCGCAACGCGATTCTCGTCGCACAGGGAATGAGACACGACTGGTAACTTACTTTTGAGTGGTACTGTAACATAATGTTACCACTGTGTAATCAGTAAGAGAGAATTTTGAATGGAGAGGAGAAAATATACAGTTATGTCTATGTTACAGGTCAAAATTAAAACTTCAGGTTAAAATTTTTAACCTAGGTTGATTCTCTATTTCCCTTGTCTCAATTGTTCATGAATCGGGGGTGGGAGACAAAGGAGGTTGAGAATCAGCCTAGGTTAAAAATGCTGTCCATCTTGGAACCCTCACCAAAAATATTCTTGGATCAGTCCTTGAATTTCGTACCATTTAATGCACTTGTTTCCAAGAAAATTGCAAGGAAGGTTATCCAAGGGTTGCAGTAGACTTTTTATTATTAAAATTATAATTATTATTTTGATGGCCATTTTCATGATGACTGACAACACCTAAAAGCTTAAGTAATTGCAGACATTCTCATCCACAGCTCTTACTAAGGTTGGTAAAAAATGACTAAAGTAGTGCTTGAGATGATTTTGATCATTTATCAATACGATCAAACCTTGTTAATAAGCACACTGAGGGAACCATATTAATGGGGTGTCCGTATTAAGTGGCTTGAACTTAGAGAAAACGTAAGGGCTTTCTTTCCCAAGGGACAAAGCAAATTATCCATAATAATGAGGTGACTGTATCAAGCAGGCGTCCGTAAAGCAGGGCTTGACAGCTGTAGATGTGAATTTAGTCAACATCTTTTATGATACAGCACATATAAATTATTAGTAAAATCCAACTAGTGGTCTACTATTAATGCTGCATTCTGATTGGTTGAGCTACTACTAGGCTATATGTTATAGCCCACTAGTAGCGAAAAGCGTGGGCTTTTTGGCCGCAAAAAAGGATTAAAGTCTAGCTTTAAGTAGCTAAAGTTTTTTTATTCTCGATATTTTTGACCAGCTAGTTGGATTTTACTAAAAAAATGATTCCTCTCGCCCTCACGGCCTCTGAGTCAATAGCCCGCTATCGACTAAGAGCCCATTCGGGCTCGAGGAATAATTGTTAATTATTCCAAAGTTACCGTTTGAACTGGTCAACAGCAGCTTGGGAGAAAACAGCTTTTACAAAAAATTCCTTATCACTGATAAAGGCAATGGTGTAGTGAGATGTTTCATCAAACTGAAAAGCAAAAGAAAACCAAAAATGTACAATCACAATATGTACATGTCAAAAATTAATGTAAACAGGTTAAAATGTTTTGGTTGAGTTTCAATTTCCTTTGTCTCCCTTCCTAAATATTCATAGATACTATATGAAAAGGGAAACTACAGTTAAGAACCAACTTTGGTTTTAAATGTTAAACCTGAATGGGCTATTGCATCTTACAGCTGTAATTGAATATAAACCGTGAAATTCCGAAAATAAGCCCCTCCATGTAAAGGCCTCTCCAAATATAAGCCCCACAAACTTGTAATGCAAAAAACCCTGTTAAATCGCCCCTCCAAATATAAGCCTCCCGGGGGTATTGTACTTGGAAATTTCCGTCAAATACAAAGTAAAACAAAGAAAAACAGTAAATTTCCTTCCGAGAAGAAGGCTAGCCCAGTCGCTTTTTAAACGCAAATTTCCCTCTGTACATAAGCCTCTCCAAACATAAGCCCCTCAAAAATTGCCTTTGAAAAGTATAAGCCCCAGGGCTTACTTTCGGAATTTACAGTATCTGCCCCCTGGTTGACTGGACTATTAGCCTGAGTATTGCCCCTTAGGAAGGTCTGATACTCCTAGCCCCTTTCCCGCTTCCCTTTCAAAAATCTTCTCTCCCTTAACCCCTTACAAAGGCCTGATACACATGGCTAATGGACCGCTTGAATTCTTCATGGGTAAATAATAAAAAATTGAGGATTTCTTTTGGGGTAATGTAAAAATAAAAAAAGGAATTCTTTGGGGATAAAGCTTTAATTCCCATAATATTTTTTAGGGGTAGACCAATGTCCTTCAGTTCTTCATATTTTAAGGAAGTCTTTGGGGGTGAATGCAATTTCATTTAATCTGCAAGGGTAAGAAGAAAAGGCAAATCCTCAACCGGGGGTAGGGGGGGGGGGGAGGGGGAAGGATATTGATATTAAACTCAATAGCCCAATTTTATACTGGCATCTAAGAGGTAAAAGGATAAAACCTACAGGAGCTCCAGCCCTGGCTACTGCCCTGGATGTGATGTTTTAGGGGGCAACTACAGATTGCAAACATCAAAAGTAAATGATCAAAAACACTGAACTTACAAACTTAACTGAACAATAAGCATCCAGTTAAATGTAGTTAAATGAAATTTAACACAGTTAAGAGGAGTGTAGGCGTCAGTCAGCGGTCAGTGCGGTGGTTGTGTTCAACCTTGCTTACATCATCTCCATGTGCTTGTTACAGCATTTCCTGGCGGCCACTCTCTTCGTTTAGCCTTTGGATCATTCTTTCACCCCCATCCCTCCCCAACCCGCCTTTATTTTTTCCACTGATAAATCACTGTGACTGGTGCCTGGTTTCGTTGGCGTGGGGGCTCATGGCTCGAAGGCGCAGGTTTACCAGCCATGAGCTGGCTTTGCCGAAAGTGGAGGCCCCTGGATATCCAGGGCACCCACCTCCACTAAGCGACGCATTATATATTTGCGATCCTTGTCATGATCATTAATTCTTGAATTTGGCGCTATTTGTTGTTTCCTGATCCATGGACGTTTGTGAAACATTTGACCCAACTGTTCATAAAAATGTTTTGCCTACCTTAAGTATCTGAGCTCTAGCAATTTTCGGAAGGTTCTTTCCGGTCTCGCTCATCAAAGCCTGTTCAATCCACGGTTTGGCTATCCAGGACGCCATTTTTGAAAGTTGTGTCCCGCAGGTCCCAGTCTTTTTCGGCAAAAAGACATGTCACGTGGGTCATCACGTGGTACACTGGAGGCAGATAAAAAGAAAACGAGTGTCAAGATGAAATCACTTTTTATAGAAGGACAATCTGCTGAGAAAGATCTGTCAGAAAACAGGATGCAAGATACATGACGGTGTTCGATTTAAATGAGACAAATGTCAAAGTCCGAGTTGGGAAGCTCAGCCAAGGAATTTCCATAAAATTGCACTTAGCTCCTAAAGAACATAAAACAACACGAACAACTCTCCCCGTCAAAGGCACTTTCAACAGGGGGTGGGGGTACTCAAGAAAGTTTAATACGGGTGAGCTTCACGCCGAGGTCTAACCCCTTACCTTATATAATATATAGATTTAGCCAGGGCTAAAAGCGAAGCTCTGGTTAATAATACGTGTAAACAAAACAAAATTAAATCGTGTAATGCTAAACGGGGACGACAATGAAAATGGCTTCTAGACTAAAAGATCTAATTAGCAAAAAAACAAATTGCGCGTGCAGCACACTTTTTCTTCTAATTAGCAAAAAACAAAATTGCACGTGCAGCACGCTTTTTTGTCTTTCCCTTGCCGTTGTTTTGCATGACTGCAACGCTGTTTTGTACGACTAAACGGTAAAACTTTCTAGTTACACATCTTTTTATGGAGGAATTGTCGTATGTGCTTACCTAATATTTTGTTTCCTGTGTTGTGTTCATGTTCGCTTTTATTTTTCATTGCCGCTCATTTTCACCTTGTTGGCCGCTAGCATTTCCCATTTTCTCACCGCCGCTTTGAATTTCCATGTTTTTCTTCCTACGAAATTCGTCTCCTTTGTTTTCAATAACTCGCTCTAGCTCTTTCTCTGTTGTCCACGTTAGTGTAAACATAAAAAATAACGCCGAAAAAGACACTTTTGTTTTTTTTTTCTTCTAAAAGTCCGGGCGGCCATGTGATTTCCTTCCAAAGCGTTTGGGTTGCCATACCTGTTGATTGAGTTATTTTACATTGGTATGCCTGTGGTGCGGACGGACGGTCGCTCGATCGCTCGGTGTACGGTCACGTGATTACCAAATTTTCTCGGATGGGTAGATTACCACATTTCCATAGCTATGGCGCTCCGCCCACGCGTGGAGGTCCGCTTCAAGTGATGACAGAAAAGGTCTTCTTATAATACTGTAAATCCACAAAAGCAACACCCTGACACTTTCCCCAACAATACACATCCTGTGCACTGATTAAAATGCGGTGCTATAGAGAAGTGTGACGTCAAGTTACCATGGTAGCAAAATTTCTGGATCTGAACGATCCTTCTCGTCAGGCGACCATTCTCGAATCATGGAAGAAAAGTATGGGCTACCGTTTTGTTCCTGAGTGAAAGTCTTACAGGTCATTTTTTCGTCTTTTATGACTTACTTGCAGCACCACCGTTTGTTGAGAACCAGAAATTTGCTATCATGGCAACGCGACGTATAAACGATGTACAATTTCTTCTGTTTGCTAGGCTTTCATCCGAAATCCAGACATCGAGAAAAGAAAAAGTCAAAAAAGGAATTAGAGAAAAAAAACGACATTTTTCACCGATTACACTCTACTTCTAAGTTACAAGCTACCTTAGTCTCACTAGTTTTTGCGAGTTCAAAAAAAATCGCGAAATTTAATAGAATATTTTCTTCGATAAAATAACTAAGATAGTACGCGCGTTCTGATTGGTTAAAAACCTATGGCGAGTGATTTACAGGCTTTTCGAGTATCTATTGCTTAAACAAAACTATACAAAATTAGACTGTTCACGGTCACCTATTTTTCCGTGAGATCGTCGAGATCGAGCGCGTCTTACCATTAATGGCGGCCATCTTGATTTTCAGTCGGACCGAGTCTAACCCCCCCGTACATCTGAAAAACAAGATGGCCGCCATTAAGGGTAAGACGCGCCCGATCTCGACGATCACACGGAAAAATAGGGGACTGTGAACAGTCTAATACAAAATTGATGGCAATTTTGAGTTGACAATAATATAGAAGGGATCGAAAAGGCCTATTATTTGCGGTGGAATCTCAATAACTTGCGGTGGAATACATTAATGCCAATGACATCATTGCCCTTAGGAAAAAATATTGAGGAGTTCGTCGTCATTAATATGCACTAATCAGTGAACCTGAACCAGGAAAATTAGTTGTCTGCCATGAGCCAATACAGGCCATGAAGGAAATAAAACTTGCATAAAAACGTTAATGCTCACCCACTTTAAGTCACAAGCGAGTTAGTGCTTATTCCTTCAACAAAATGATCAACCAATGAATGCTTTTCTTAGTTTTAGTCACCGATCAAAAACCACGACATTGATAGGCCTCAAAATAACTTGATAACCTAACAAACCAGTTAAACCACCTATAAATAGCATATGACCTTTTCCCCTTCTCTCCATTCTGATATAAAGAAAAAAAGCCGGATCATTATACGTTTCTGCGAGACTACCCACCTACCGCTCCCCTGAGCCAACATTTTGCACCAAGTGAGAAGTAAGTGTTAATGTTGGCTTTGGGGAAGGGTAAGTGGGCAGTTTCCCAGAAACGTGTAATGACCGGTCCCATCTATTTTTACCCTGGGTAACAGCACAAAATCGCGTTGCGTTCACACCATTTTGAAACGTGAGCCTAGCAGGACCTTAAGGGTATTCAAAGCAGTTGATTACCCGGAACTATCAGAAAACACGTGCAGACAGGAACCTGGTGTCCACCTTAAGTGACCAAAGTCAATGTTTGGACCTTGTACCCAGGCACCAGCACGGTGCCAAAATTCTGGCAAGGGTACTTCAAAAAATGGTGGGTTAACGTTAGGGAACTAAAGCAACAACGACGGCGACTGCTACGAAAACGTCACTTAAAAAAGTGCATCAGCGCTGCCTCAAACTTTATCGCGCTTACTCCGTCTCGTTTAATTCCTCAAATGTTGGCAAATTGTTCTGGAGCTGAATTCTAACAGACTGTATCAAAGTTCAGGAAAAGAAAGAGAAAGTTGTTGTCTTGTGTTCCCGTCCTCGACAAGACGTGAAATTAGGCATTTTCACGTCGTAGTCGTGCAACGACGGCAAAGAAATGTACAAAAAAGCGTGATGCACGTGAGTAGTTGTTGTTTTGCTTATCTAAACCTATTGCTTTTTCGCCGTTCTCGTTCCCGTCACCGTCGTCGTTGCTTAAGCTCCCTATTAAGGTCCAGCAAATACTGTACTTGGGCAACACGTTTGAACGCTTCCTTAGATGTCACTTGAGACACTGTGATCATGCTGTTGGCATTTGGTGTTCATCCTTCCTACACAAAAGAATATATTTTGTGCAAGAAATTCCTTCTTTTTCAAGTAACTTAATATATACATCGTAGATAATTTTTTACTTAACTTAATTTTTCATTTTCCATTGTTTAACTAATGTTTGCGAATGAATTTAAAACAAAGAAAAACAAAAATTAACTGAAATAAAAAAATTACTGCAACATATACATTGATCAGCCATTGCTAAAACGAATAATTATACAAATAAGTGCATGCTTTGATAGTTTTGAGCGTGGGGCAATCGCACTGATGTTACTAACTTCGTCCGCCAAGAAACTGCACCAATAAACAACCATTCAACCGACATGGAGCACCATTTTAATTATCGTCTTACCAAAGCGTAATTCAGATTCGCATTCAATTCTAAACATTGAAATGTCAGCTGCGTATTTCATTATCCATCCGAGTTGAATTATTAACATTTCGTAGACAAAATCTTTGATAACTACACCTTTGTAATGACCAACCCAGTATGGAATACATCAGAGAGTTGTTTTCGGGGTAAAAAAAAAATTGCCAAAGGTTTATATAGGTAAGAAAAACATGACAGTTCTTGGGTAGGATATCTTCACAACTTCCCAACATATTTTCCATGTCAGACTTAACCCTTTTGGCCAGGTGACCTCTTTGATTCAAGCAGAGGCACGCTTCAGAATGTAGCGTGTACATAGCGTAGGCACACACATCCACATACAGAAAAAACAATTCAAGGATTAAGAGTCGAAAGGATCTCCTGTGTGTCCCTCGTCATAGTAGCTCTTGTACTTTCACACTCTTTCGTACTGCGTTACTGTAGCCTTCATTGAAGCGAAACCAGATTAAACTGGGTTTTGCCTGGGGTGACTGTACGCTTGCACTGCCCTCTGAAACGAAAAGCAAAGCATGTTTAGAACTCGGATATGGCTTCTCCATGGAGAAGAAGCTTAAAAATGAGCAATGATTAGACTAGATTTTGCCTGGGGTGACTGTGCGCTTGCACTGCCCTAAGCAACCTCGTCCCCAGGGCGATTTTTCCAGGCCCCACCTCCAAAGCCAGGGAAAAGCGCCCTGGGGACGAGGTTGTGCCTCTGAAATGAAAAAGTGAACCCTTGAAAATGAAAAGCCAATGGACTGGGTTTTGCCTGAGGTGACTGTCCTCTCGCACTTCCCTTTGGTTTGAAAGGAAAAAGTATATTTACTCGGATATTGCTTCACCAAGAAGAAGAACCCATAAAAAATGACTAAACTGGGTTTTCCCTGGGGTGCTGTGCACTTGAGCTGTGTTCAAGATCAAAAAAGAAAAACATTTAAGCTCGCATATTGCATCACAAGGGTAAAACCCCTAAAATGATCAATGATTAGCCTGGGTTTTGCCTGGGGTGACTGTGCACTTGCACTGCCTTCTGAAAACACTTTTACTCATGCATTGCTCCACCACGGAGAACCTTAAAATGAAAAAAACGATTTTAGGATTCTTCGCGGAGGATTGATCGTCGATAAACAATGTATTTCCGCGATGCGTTAAGCTTTGCGTCTCATTCGTTTATCATATTTTTAATATTAAAATAGACTAATAGTCACAAAAATACTTCTATTCATACGGAACATTCAGCCTTCCATTCTCGGACATTACGAGTAGTCAGTCAGTAAACGCTCAAAAGCAAGTTTTTTTCAATGATTACCTTTAGGCTGCGGTTTTACTTTTACAGGGCGTCCAAAGAAGTCCAAAGCAGGCTACAAAAAGAAGATTTTCACACCAAAAAATCAGTTTGTTTTAGCACTGAAAGTGCTATAATGAGACACTATGTTGATAGCTAAAACTTAAAATATTTAGGATGCATTTACAAGAACCGTAAATCCTCCATTAAGCCCCCCCTCAAATAAGTCCCATTTTTCAGGGGGAAGAAAGTTAATAAGCCCCCTCTTTCTTTTAAGTCCCGTTTCCTCCCCATTATTATTCTTCACATATAAATGATAGACTGTATTAATCAATCACGACTGTAAAACTTCGTGTGGACTGATCCAGAATAGTTCATTAACCAACTGGAAGTTCGGATTTGTTTTTGCTTCTCGTCTGCATGACCTCCAACTTCTCGTTACCAAGGTTTTCCACTTTGTATTCTAGTCCTTTGTGAAGAAATGATACCATCGTGTTTGCTAAATTTAATAAGCCCCCAGCTCTATTAAGCACCCACCTCCCCAATGTGTTTGAAATAAATAAGCCCCGGGGGAACTCAATAGAGGATTTACGGTACTTCCCCTTAAAAATCTGAAAGTTCTTTCTCCTACGCGAATTCACATGTATCGGTCTCTTTAGCTTCAAAGACAATGCTCTCTTCAATCAATCAATCAATCAATCAATCAATCAATCAATCAATCAATCAATCAATCAATCAATCAATCAATCAAACAATCAATTAATCAATCAATTAATCAATCAATCACCAGTCAGTCATTTTGTAAATAAGGTAGTTATTCATTTAGATTTAGATTCGAGGACGACGACGAGGTTTGACTTAAATGAACTTTTTTTTTTAGCTTACACTCAAAAAGTAGACACTCTGGAAAGCTTTATTTCACTCGTTTTTTTTTTTTACCTGAAAAGTTACCTCGGTTCTTTTTATTGAAGGAGGTCAAGACCTCTCCCGATCGCAAAACGATAAAACTTCTAACATTTTATAACTTTTTTTCGTCACTACGACATTCTCGCTAAAACTAGCAATAGAATGACGACGGCTATCACGTTTTCCCGCCAAAACGACGCTGGTTCACGCTCGCGCACTATTTAGTAACCTTAGTCTTAGAATCTAAAGGTCTATACTAACCAAACCATCAAGCATTATTCAAAATGGCAACAGGTCTTCCAGAACCTTACTTAACGCGTTCAATACCTTTGCCTCTCGTGGTTTTACTTTACTGGTGTCCAAAGACAAAACAACAAGAGGCTTCTTTGGTTTGGACTCGTCTGCTTTCTTAGATCCACTGGGAGAAACAACCGGGTAACTGTGAAAATAAAAAGTAAAACGTTCTCAAGGCTTTTATTAGTTTTGTAAAAAAAAAAGAAAGAAAAAATATAGCGTAAAAGGTATCTTGTGCAGCGTCTCATACCCCGTTTAAATGGAAGAAAGTTTTCCCGGGAAAGAAAATAACTCTCCCACCAGAGTTAACTTTGGCGAGCGTTTACATGAGAAAAAAGTTGACCCCTCTGCTCAAGCCAACAGCGCTAATTCATGTTCTGATTGTCGCGCCCTGACCAAGTTGACCCGGCTGGGCAAGCCAAAGTGGTTTTAAGGAGAAAAGTTGGCCCGGCTAGGCGGGTAACCTGTCTAGCCGAGCTAACTTTTTGTTTCTCATTTAAACGGTTCGCCACGTTTTGCAAAGAAATGTACGAAAAGTTGGTTCGCCTCAGGGCTGCTCGAGTAGGCGGATGACCCTCCTTTCTGGGAGAACTTTTCTTCGCATAAACGGGGCGTTACTAGTAAATTACCAAACAAAGGTTGTGCAAGTACTGGATCTTAAATCTCACCTCGTATTTTGATGAGCTGTCAGAGACCTTTCCGTTCTTCTCATCTTTTCCAACTCAATCTACAACACAAAGAGCCACGTTTTTAATACCTCTACATGGACATGAGGCCTTGAATTAAGATAGAAAATGACTAAACAGTGCCATAACGTCGATATTTCTGGACAACAAATCCTAACTCATTTGGGCACAGTTAACAGTTTACCCTTTCAGCCCCAATATCCACATACAAACTCTCCAGACTGATCTCCATACATTTCCTTGAAGAATTAGTAGAGACAATTTGATTAAAGATCAAAGCACCTCCCCTTCGAAAATCATTTTATCAATCCTCAAAACCTTTTCTCTTTATTATGTATTTATATATAGAAAATTGTCTATGATTAGTCTTGGGGCTTGATACCCTTCTAAAAGTAGTTAAGTTTAAAAATTCCTGAAATTCCAACAAGGTCGCAGCGCTTTTGCTCCGTTTCATTGCTTGAAGAACAAAGCATATTCACATGTAGCGTGCTTGTTTCGCAGGGGTCTTGTTCCTTTGCCTGTGTACAGACGCCCGCGCGTCTCCAAAAAAATTCCGGAATTCGCCTCTAGACTTCCAGTAACTCGAGTGGACTTGATTCGTCTCCTGTGGACTCCGATGGACTCCACCAGTGTATGATTATTCTAGCCTCCCCGACGTTAACATGTTTAGACTTCAGGTTTCTCAGGACTAGACTTTCTCAACTCCAGTGGACTCGATGAGTTTCTAGTGGACTCGGATGGACTTAAAACCCTCCTCAAGGTTAATTGTTTATATTTCCGGTTTCATTTCTTCCGGTAACTCCAGAGGACTGTATAAGGCATGAATTAGTGTATCTCAAGGATAATTTTTAAGCGTAAATGTGTTAGCATTGGTAGTACTTTTACCTCTCTGGCTATCAGCTGTTTAGTGGCATAAGGTAACTGTCTGTGCTGAGGCAGACCTGTGAATTTTACAGCTTCTTCAATATTTCTATACCAAGGAAGAGAAAAACAATAACAACAAAATGTCAGGATTATGGTGTATGTGAAAATCTTAACGCACACCAAGAGCCATGGCTCTTGCGCACACGAAATTCTTGTCACGCAAGTGTTGTAAGGTGTCCTACAGGCCGGACCCGTCACAGAGTATGTTCAAAGCAGTCAAACGTTTATTAGGCTGCGTGCAAACGGACGCAACAACTCCCAACATTGTTGCGCCAACAATGTTGGGAGCTGCTGCGTCCGTGTTGGCAGTGGTCTTCAAACGGTTGCAACAACTCCCAACAATGTTGGGACCTGTACTGCATCGTGGTAAGGATACAACCCATAAGTCTTTGTAAACTATCCGTAATGAGCGTGCGTCGCCCCAACAATGTTGGAAGAGCTGTGCAAACGGATCCAACATTGTTGCGTTACGCTTCGGCGATCACGGAACAAAAGAAATGTTGGGAGTTGTTGGCTGAAACGTTTGACCAGTTTCAAAGTTTGCGCAACAACACGCAACAACATCCAACAATATGCAACAGGGTGTGCAAACGGACGCAACATGTAACATCCAACAATGTTGCGTCCGTTTGCACGGGGCTTTACACGCGTCTTTTTTAAAATTTTTGGGTGCTTATTTAACAGTAAGTGAAAACATCGACAATGATGTGTAAAATAATCAGTTAACGTACTTAAGCTATCAAGTCTTTTTAAATCTTTTCTTTAAATATTTAGCTTCATTTCTTTGAAAATCGGTCGCGCCCGATTAGAAGCTGCCAAATAGCGCTTACAACAACACCAGTTGTCAAACAGTTAGAACGTTAAGTAAACCTTCAAAGTAAATTAACAATTAACAATTAAGACTAGTAAATTAACAGCGGCATTGGTGACATCTTAAACTTCCAACAGTAAGAGTTGCAACTTCAGCTTTTCAGAACAAGCATTGCTTTTGCAAATTTCTCTGGATTGACTGCGGTGAACAGCGCGGTGAGCAAATAAAAACAATCAAAAGGATGGCCATTAAAGGGATTCAAGGAAGAAATGGATTTTCAGGACTTCCATTCAGGCATCGGACAAACAGTGAGTCTCGTTTTTTATATATTACGTGAAACACTAGTACTTACGGATCCAGGACATAAGTGTATTGCCCTTCAAAGTTTCTCTCCTGGTGATAAGTTAGGTTATAGCCAATCATTGTGTCAATAAGCTCCACTAATTGCTGTTTCTCCCGTGCTGAAAATAGCTGAGTATTGACCTGACAAGAATATTATTTAATTTTAGTTACCTTGTTCGTATCTTTCATTTCCTTTACAGTCCCATGAAAAGGCGGGGGGGCTTATTAGAAGGAGGGGGCTTATTTGAAAGGGGGGAGGGAGCGGTTTAAACAGTATATACCTTTTCAGAAAGAAAAGGTACCCCTTTCGTATTGCTTCTATTGAAAAAAGTTACCCCTTTAACACACCTACTTCTAAGTAGGTGTGTTAAACGAAAATGGCAAGAAATTTATTCTTATTAAAATAAGAATAAATTGCTTGCCATTTTCGTTTAGGAAATTAAAATGAAATAGCAATGAGACTTTAGACTGTTCACATGTCCCCTATTTTTCCTTTCCATTATGGGAAGCCAACTTGGATGCGCTCGATCCCGACGATCTTACGGAAAAATAGGGGACTGTGAACAGAGTAATGAGACTTCGACTTCGGAGGCAGTTTTATATACTTTAATGATAGATTTTCCTACCCTTTTATTAGTTAAATATACTTCAATTCCCTACCCTTTTATATGCCTGGTACCCCTTTCGAGTAGAGCGTCACCGTATAGGCCATTATGGGAGTCCTTGGATTTTAAATATGAGTTATTGACCGAGCTTAAGGCCAAGATAACGGGTTTCTTGTGGGACCAAGGCGAGAAGTCCCGAGCGGGAAAGGTAGGCTAATTAATCTGCTCGGGTAGCTAATGACATCGCAGAATTTGCTTCATCTTGCCCACTTGTGGAACCAGTCATGTAACAAGTAATTCTTTCATATAAACTATAGAACGATTAACGATCCACGTGAAATTCCGAAACCAAAATATACCACAAAGAATCGTCACTATAAATACACCAAAACACGATCTGAACTTCCAGGTGTCAACCTCTCAGCCACCACACCTCTCACTAATGGTGTACTACCACATGTAAAACGTCCATTATACTGTAGCTTTGTCAAGTACTAATCGTTCTTAGGGCCGAAAAGTAAAGTTTAAAAATGTATTATCTGAAAGTGCTGCAACCATGGGTACCACAGGTCTTTTTCTCGCGTGCGGCGGGGAAGCTTCGGCGTCGGTGTCCCTGTCGCTAGTAGGCCGACACATCTTCGGCCGAGGCCGAGGCCACAAACGAGCGAATGAAGCGTGGTCACTATAAAAGAGATTTGATCGAAACCGGAAACCGAGTTATTAACTACTGTTGTTCTGCCCTGTTCCCTTGGTTCGGTCATAGAAGAGCTTCAACAATCAAGCTTACCGGTCTCAGTGTTGGTGTAATGACCTCTAGAATGGAGGGAAGCAGCTCCAGACAGGCAGTGCGTAAATTGATATTTTGCCGGATATGTGGAGATGACTCATTCTTGATAGCGTTGACGAGGTTCTTTATCTTTGTTTCTTTAAGATGGCTCTACAAACAACATCAAAACAGAAAAGTCAATTCACGCTTTGTCTCCTTCGATTTCACAAAAGAGACCTTTAGATTCTAAGACGACGACGACCACGAGTACGAGATTTTCTCAGTACTAAGTAGTGCAAGCTAGTGCGCGTGTGTGAACCAGCGTCATTTTCGCAGGAAAACGTGATAGCTGTCGTCATACTACTTCGACAACGGCGTGCGCAAGACTTAAGTCTAAACAACAAGACTTCCGGCCAGGTGGTTTTTGTAAATGGTAAGAAACCCTGGTGTTCCTTTTTTAGGGCATGACTTTGGCGCTTTGCATCAACCAAAACTTTCGAAAATTTGGAAACGGCGGCAAATGGTACAGAATTTTCCCGAAAAAGTTTCCAGAAATTCCGGAAATAGTTGAATTTCCGAAATCAGAACAATTCAACCGAAAATTCTAGCTTTCCGCGAGCAAAGTTGAATGGAAACAAAACTTCCGCGAAAACTTTCGAAAATTTGGGTATACTTTGCGACGTTACCTGTTTTTGGAAATTTTGGAAAATGCTCCTCCATTCGCTACCGGAAGTTGGCGAAAATTCAAACCGGACGTTTTGGTTGAATGGAAAGCGCCCTTTGTCTCATCTAGTTAGCTAGCCTTGGATTTTCTCTTACAAAGCGTTTCATTATTTTCGCCTCAGTAACACCTTGAAGGCTCACTGGTAGACTTATATTAACTAAGTTGCTCGTGCGAAATTTCACGCTTTATTACATCCACTTTGAGATCACTGGCTATCCGCGCAATCTGACTGGCTCTCAGCAGTGTGATTTATTCCTAAATCGCACCATTTTTTTCTCTAAATCGCATCTGTTCCAAATCGCGTCATTCATGTTCTAAATCGCATCATTTCTGTTTTAAATCGCACCATTTTTGTTCTATATCGCAACGTTTCTGTTTCGAATACAAAATGAGATGTAAAAGCCTTTTTGTTTCGGCTTTTTAACAAACCGGCTACTCGATCAATAAAATATTAGTAATGACTAAATTCTGCGATTTCAAAATGGATGTAATAAGGTGGTAATTGAACTTCGTGTCGTGCAATTTTGGTCTGAAATCATACTTGTGATTTCAAATCGAACTCGCGCGGATTTTGAAATCACGTGTATGATTTCAGAACAAATTGCACTCCACTCAGTTCAATTACCATTATATATCAGTTAAAGGGGTTATGTGACGAGGATTTTGCTGTTTGACCCTTTTTACTCCCAAGATCTGATTAGTAATTCTCCTTTCCGGCTGCTATACATTTCATTGTGCATTAGTTCAGAGAATTTGGGTTTGTATCAAAAGTGCATCCTCTGGCTATTACATTTCCCTATTCTCATCACCTTTCTGCTGGACAATGAATTGATATTATAAGGAGAAGTTAGATGCCGATCACTTCTGAGAGTTGAAGGGTTGACGTCAATTCTGTGCTGAAGTCATTACGTAGTGTGTTTAGTTTACCCATACACAAAATGCTCCTGTAGAGTTATCGAGAAGATATCAAAAAAATTTCATCAGGGAGCACTAACCATAATAATTTTTTTTTTGGTGATTGATTTTTGCAGGCGTTGAAAACGTTGAAAACGTTGGCCCAACTTTGTCAAGTTTCAATCCATGACCATCTTTGCCACCCGTTGCAACAGACGACAGAAAATAGTTTCAGTGCCTAAATATAATCATGCATAACAAAACTGGACCATTATTTCTTGTTTTAATATTTCTGAAATTCAATTGACGCGAAAAGAAAAATTATCTCTTTAATAAGACAGGAAATAGAGGAAATGTCGCGACATAGCCCCAGTGCATTCAGTTGCGTATGGCTTGTGTTGTCTTGTCAGTCGCCTACCTCATACTGACTGCTAGGGTAACTCAGCTTTGAGTAAGACTGTGTCGCATAAAACATGTGGAATGCTACTGAGAGGAATGGACTGTAACCCATGAGAATGTAGCTCTGTCGCTGCATGATGGCTTGTTCAATGAAGTCTGAAAATGCTAGCCATTCAGTTCCAGAAACAACCTTAAACAGACAACAAATGGGTAATTCAGTAATTATTCCTTGACTACGTTTCTAATGGCCTCCAGCAAGTTCTCCTTTTTTAGGGGCGAGCGAGCGGCGAAGCCGCGAGGGGTCCCTCGCTTTTGTGTCTTCTTACGCGTGCCTTCCGCGCGCGACTTTGCGACATCCCCTAAATGGAGAGCTCACTCGCAGGTTACTTCTCTAATTTATATTGCGTTTTCTAAGGACAGCGGTAAGGCAAGCTAATCTAGGTTCAAGAGAATACAAAGTCCCCTTTTTATAGGAACATACGGGGACATTTTTTGACAACAAAGCAAGTTTGAATTGCAAAGGTTTCGGCACTACAGTGTTTTTTAATGGAACAAAGTCACGTTGTTTTGTTCATCATCTAGCATTATTGCATTCCAGCGCTAAGAACTTAGTCCAAAACTTTTCAAGGAAATCTTTTGCATTCCCATACAAACTTTCATAATAAAAAAAAACACATCCATGTAAGTTGGGTTAAGCGCTATTAAGGTAGGGCTGCCTGTAGACGGGTCAGTTGTTGGGACACCCTACTTTTGTGTACAGATTGAGCCTCCTACGCAAATGTCCTTTTGGCTCGAGTCACGCAATTGTCTCCAAGGATTACGTGACCAGCAAAAAGGAAGTCTGTCAAGGAGGCTAAAAGTAAATAGGAAAGGTGATAACATAGAGGCAGGGGAGCGGTTATATTTCGTGACTTTTGACAGAGGCATTTCTTAGCTGGTGTGATGGATAGTGGTATAAGGAGGATCGGAAGGGTGATGATGATGACGACGATGACGACGACGACGACGACGATGATGATGATGATGATGATGATGATGCACAATAATATTCGACAAAACCTTAGACCCAATGAAAGAGTAAACACAATGGACATTATACCAGACTGCATGAGCCTACTTAAATAACGGTGATGTGTCTGATAGGCCTCTCGGGACAGGCTACAGCCTCACTCTACTATCCTCTTTGTGTTTTAATACTACTCTTCAGCTGACAGCAAAACGAAAGAGCCTATACCATGCTAGGGTTCATCCACTCATTTTTTCACAGGTTTGAAAACAGGTCATTTAAGAAAAGTTCTATTTTAGAGACAAAATTAATATACAAGAGACTAACTCTGAAATCTATTTCGAAACGTTTCAAATATCACTATACCTACCACGTCAAAGCTTGGATCTTTGAACTTAACTTGCAGATAGTTTTCAAATAAACCTGTACACACACAAAAGCAACAATTAAATCAGCAAATTTACCAAGTCAGAGGAAGCTTTTTCTAAACAGACAGAAGAACAAGAAAATAATGGCGACTCTTAAAGGCTGTTTTTCACTAGCGACGGAGTCGGAGTCGGAGTCGTAGAGCTTTTTATCTAGTGAAAACAGCGTTCCGATTCCGCTTACGACTCCGTCGCTTACGTTCCGCCTATGATCTAACGAAAACCTGATTGTCGGAGTCGGAAGCACGAACGGAAGAACTAAACCAATCACAAAGCGTGGGAAGGAGCATTGTGATTGGTTTATCCTTCCACTTCTGCTTCCGACTCCGACAATCTGGTTTTCACTAGATCATAAGCGGAACGTAAACGACGGAGTCGTAAGCGGAGTCGGAAGAAACGGAAACGTTCTGATTCTTCTGACTCCGATTCCGTCGCGCTTATGACTCCGCTTACTACTCTGATTTTTGATTTTCACTAGGTCATAAGCCCTCTTACGACTCCGACTCCGACTTCGTCGCTAGTGAAAACCAGCCTTAAGGGAGGGTTTATTTTCTACTGGAGCTGAGGGCATTACCTACCAAGATGGATCTGGAAAAGAGGGAATTATTCGGTGTTAACCTCTGCACAAATATATAGAGCATACTTTATCATATTTCTAATGGCGAGTGTTAGAAGTTTCATTTGCTATGGATGAAGAATTTCAAAATAATTTCCAGTTCAACTATAGCTAAAACCCAAGGGGTAAGGGTGTGGTTAATAAGTACGTGCCACAGTGAATGGTTTGGTTCTCTAGCAGTTTAAACTGGGATGAGGTTTAAAAATCACAGGGTTTTGGTCTGGAACAGGAGAATCAAAAATTGTATTGGGAAACAATTCAATGGTATGAGAAAAATGGTCATGGGACGTGTAAGTCTGCAGGGAAGCAAGAATGAGGGAGTAATGAGGTGATGTACTTTTTACCACTACGTTCACAAATTTAAAATAATATTATATGATGCAAACTTTGCCTATGGCGATGTAACTCAGCCATCACTGTACCTTGTGCTACTTTCTCATATTGCCCACTTGACGAGGCAGAATGCAGTACTGTATGAAAACGATTAGACATGGCTGACATAGCTCTGTGCTCGGTACCACTGCTAGTATTTTCATTAAAGGTTGATAACAATCCCCTGTTGTTGGCGAAACGATTTTGGTTTTCATTGTTTGCGATGGCTGCAAACCGAATGCGTTTTGGTTTTGGGAGCTGAAATATCTCTTGCCAAATAGAGAATAAGCTGCGATGGGAGTCCTTTTGACCAATCTCCATTGACTGGACATGTTCTAACCACACACGCCCATGTCGCTTATTGATAAACTGCAGGGATGAGATAAAAAAGTTTGTGAGAGTTCGTACACTTGAGAAAAGTTCAAAAACTAAATGTTCAAATTATTTGACCAGCGCGCTACTTTGGGGATGCTATCACTCTTTTCACCTGCCATTCAGAGGTTGCACAGGAAAATGGGGTAACATTTGTCGGATCAGGAGACACACTAGAGAGCTTTAGATTCCAAAACGAGAACGACTTCGAGTACGAGATTTTCTCAGTAGTAAGTAGTGCTTGCGCGTGAGCAAGCGTAATTTTGGCGGGAAAACGTGGTAGCCGTCGTCATTCTACTACGACCCTTTAGCGAGAATGTCTTAGTGTCAGAATTTTTATCATTTTACGATCTGGAGAGGGTGTATTCCTCATTCACTAAAGGTAGCAGCGCTAACTTTTCTGGTGAAATATGATAAAATGAAGCTTTCCGGGGAGTCTATTTTTGAGAATACGCGAAAAAACTTAAAGTCAAATCTTGTACTCGTAGTCGTCCTCGTATCTAAAGGTCTCTACTATCATGATGGGTCTCATCATCATATTTTGTAGACCTTTCCTCTCGCCTTAAAAAACTGTTTGACAGTCTGCTTATTCTTTATTTTAAAGTCAAGGGAAAATATTAGATACATGAACACAGAAATAGACTTCATGGCCAGGTTTGTTTAGTAAAAACTTGTCGCTAGGATCTTGTCCAAGTAACAGGCGGCCCTTGAAAATATCATATCTTCTGATAAATTGCATTTTTAACAAACTTTATTAAAAAAAAATTTAAAAAAAAGCAAACAAACACTAGCCGCAATTATCAACAGCTAGTCTAGGCGGGTAGTACTCACATATACAAAAATATAAGAAAACACCATCAAGACTAAAGAGAAAAAGAAAATAAAAGGTCTAACTTTTTACCTTGTCTTCTATCATGAAAAAAGTCAAAATTCAGGAGCTCGGAAAATCGCGTCCGTAGCCTACGCACACACGCACGTAATGATTTTTCGACATTTTCATGTGAACATTTTTGCACCTGGAATCGTTTAGTTGCACTTTTTAAATGCTATTGTACCTGGTCCATACCTGCAGAGTATTCAGACACGATCTGATATCGTTATCAGTCTTCATGCATAAAGAGGTGAGAGTTGTCATGTCAGTGTTAATTGACTCTTGCCTTGATATCTGAAGAAAAAGGGGAGGGTGTGTGTCATCTCCAAGCTAGAGATAAAAAATATCAGGAAATGTCGAGGAAGAGATCGGAGGACAACACATGTGTCCTTTTTACATGTTAACAGTAAGCTCGGATGTCAGCATACAAGGGGACACCAGCAGCCACCGTTAAGTCCATTTATGAACTATGAACTGGCCCACGACATGAAGGATATGTAAAATGAGGCATGAGGATACAACACTAGGGAAACTTCCCCTACCCTTTTCGAAAACACGCAGACAAACATTACCTCCAAAAGGCGAGCAGCCAAGCGAGCAGGAATAGTTGGTGGGAATGTTACAAGAAAGGCAACTTGACGTAGCTGACGTAATGCAGGGGCATACCTGAGACATAGACATGGGTAAACCATTTTAGTAAAATCCAAATAGTGGTCATTATCAATGCTGCATTCTGATTGGTTGAACTATTACTAGGTTATATGTTATAGCCTACTATTAGCGAACAGTGCTGGCTTCAAAACAGTGGTGACTGAATCGTGTTTTGCTAGCTAAAGTTGTTTTTTCTTGACATTTTTGACCAAATAGTTGGATTTTACTAAAACAATGATTCCTCTCGCCCTCATGGGCTATTGACTCAGAGCCCATTCAGGCTCAAGGAATAATTGTTAAGTAATTATTACTAAATAAGCGCATGCAAAGAGTAAAGGAGGCAGTGCTAGTCATTTTGGGCAAGCCACACCGGCAATGTCTAATGATTAGAAAAAAGACTGTAGAATTTGATCGTGTTGGATAGTATACAGTACAATCCTGATTTCTCAAAATGTCACTTTTTTTCTTAATTCCTGATAATGTGAACCAAACTTTACTTTCCTTCGCTAGTCAAACTGTAATTTTCCCCTCTCTTAAACCTCCCAATAATTCGATTTTAAATAAATAAATAAGCAAGGCTTTTTGAATCTGTGCACATTTTACACTAACACATTTGATATCTCAAGCGTTTTTACACCTACAAAAAACTAAACAATATTTTCTTATAGTTTGACCATTCTTTGTTCAGGATGCCAAAAATCATAGCACTCAATTAAATCTTTCCTGCTGAAAGAGTTAAACTCAATTCAAAAACGTAACCATTATGCATATAAATAGGTTTGGGCCACCTTAAACACATTCAAGTTACATCATTAATGTTGAATATGGATCTAACTGATCTATCAGAAGTAATCTTGTCCATAGAGTCATGTCCCAATAATTCTTGAACTCACTGATCATTGCAGATGCAAATAATTGGTCGGGAGAGTGGGCCTGCTTTCTTCTTCTTTCTTGATTTCTTTGCAGGAGCAGCATCTAAGATAAGAAACAATCACATCACTATAACATCTGTAAGTATAATATCAATTTTCGGGACATTAAACCTACAATCATGGACAAAAGACCTGGTACACTTTTGCATTTCTGGGGCCTTTTCCAATTCACAAATGCCTAACCTCTCCCCTCATCCCATAAACGGCACTGGACACGTGTTTCCAAATTTGTTTGTGAGTTTCAACATTGTATAGGGTGGATGGAGTGACAACTGCAAGAAACTTTAGAAAAGTTTGCACTGTTTTATGAGGGAACCCGGAAAATACAGAAAATCATGAAAAATGCAACACTGTCCCAAGGACTTTTGTCTACGATTCTAGGTTTACCTTTTTATAAAACCTTCTTCACTTCATTGAGAAACGTACAAAATATTCCACTTATGTTCAAGTGAATGAACTATAAAGGAAGCCTAGTAGAGGCTGACAGAACATGAAGGACTATTTTTTTTGGAAATAAGACATGGTTTATTTTGTATTGAAAGCCTTTAGTTAAGTTGATCTAGCAATGTACTTTCATCACAAGTAAATGGCAACTTGTCAATTGACTTACCAAACTTTTAAAGATTACCCTTTCACAACTTGAAAAATGTGATCACAATTTACTTCTATCTTCTCACTTCCGTCTAAACTAAAACTTTTTTTAACTCTTGCATGCAATACCTGAATCCTTTTGCTTGATAACTGACAACAGGACATTTATGGCAGGCTGTTGAAGACAGAAGGAAAAAAAGGTGTCAATTATATCAATTATCACACCATTGAAATTTATTGTGAAATTATGGGATTGGATGGCATATTCAGAAAGAACAAGATGAAAAATGCTCCCTTGCCAAAAATCAGCTTGTTAGTGCAAATTGGTGGGGAAATACAAGCACCTTTATGCTCTGATGACGTCATACAAATCCTTCTAAAACAGCCTTGGATCAATCCAGGCCTATGCTAGAGGGATTTATCTGGAGTCATCTGAGTGCAACAATGCTTATGTCTCCCAGCCAATATTTGCACTAACAGATTTATTTTTGGCAAGTGAGAAATTTTCATCATGTTCGTTCTGGATACACTAAGCTATTCCATAATTTCACAAATTTAGTTTTTGTGATGTCATAACATCTCTTCTCTAATATATTTGTGGCTTAGACAAAAATAGAAACATTTCAAAAATATAATTCTGCATGAAGTCTATGTACAAAATTAAGTGCAAAATATTTAATATAAGACAATTTTTCAAGGTTCTATTTACTATACCGATACATGTAACTTATTACTTTTTACATGTAGCTGGAAATAACTCATCACTTACTGCAGGTGCTCCATCAATTTCATCAATAACCAAACAGTTTGGCTTCTCATTATGTCCCAGCACTGATCTCATCTGTGTTGAGGCTTCAATTGTGTTTCTGAACACCTCCTGTGAGCGATCATCACTATCAAAAAATTAAAGGCCAGTTAATTAAACAAACTGTTACTTAGAGTGCAGTTCAACAGACTTAGTGGGCCTCCAAATCTGTTTATAAGGGGTCTATTTCAAGAAGTTTGCGTGAAAATGCATGGCTGTCTAGTCTGGGCCCCAGTTGACATCTCAAAAGGCCCGGAAACTTTTTGGGCCTGAAGGTTAGTTCTAAAATCAAAACTTGTTGAATACTAGCAAAGTTCCTAGCACATAAACCGTCAGTTTTGCTTCATTAACTGATAGTTTCATTGCATTCTTTTCAAAATATTATTATTGAAACTTTGATCTTTACCGTAAACAAGGCAAACAGAGCAGCTTCCCGGGCCCGAAAAGTTAACAGAACTCTTGAGAAACAGGCCCCTGGGCTCTAAATGACAAAGAGTGCATGAATGTACATTGTACAAAACACAATGGTATGGAAAGGTAATGGCTGCCAGTAAATTGGCAGTCGATGTAAATCTGTCTATCCATCAGATACCAGATAGGTGGGGGGAGGGTACTGAAATATGAAAGCTATAATGAATTTATAGCAGCTTAGTTTCAAAAGAAACTGCACTGAAATGCTTGTTGGGAGAAGAAACACCAAAATTTGGTTTTCATGATCAATTTACAACTGTAAAAACATTCAAAAGCTGGCATTATGAGCCACTATTCTTTTTTTACAGCAGCATATTGGTTGTACTTCTGTAAAGAGAGGGGTATTAAGGCAGTTTAGTCTAAAGAAGGCAAAGAAACCACACTGACAGGGGCTTGGCCAAAATCAGGTTTTACCATAACAACATAGGAATTTCTTTACCATAAAATGTGGCTACCGTGGTAAATGTTTCACCCTATTAGTTACTGTGGGGTACAAATTTTTTGCCACCTAGTTTGTGTCATGAGCTGCATTAATTTTGCAGTATGAATATTTCCTCACCTGGCATTCATTTCAACCACATTGTATCCAGCATGCTGAGCAATGACATGAGCAAGGGTTGTTTTACCAAGGCCAGGAGGACCACATAGTAGTGCAACCTGACAAATAAAAAAAAAATTAAAAAAAACTACAGATTACAGACAGATGTACCATAAAGAATAATGTGTAGTCAAGCATGTAATAATTGTACTAGATTCACCGCATCTCAACATCACTACAAACCTTGCGCACCGGGCGGCCAGTTGCATCAATTTCCTGGAATTAAAAATATTGTACCACTCATCAAAACGCAGGTAATTGTACAAAGAAGATCACTTCAATTGCAATTGGCATTGCTGCATCATGTATTGACAACCACATTTATAATTCATGAAATTAGAGTCATATCCTGTGCAGAAAAAACCTGCGACTAAGAACCTGCATTTTTCCAAGTTAGCCTAAACAGGTTCTTACATAAATGGTTAACTAGTGCAAATTTAGGCTTTTAGGTTCTTAAATAATAGGTTCTTATTTTCTGAAGAAAAAATATATTGTAGCTAAGAGTATTTTTTTAATTTAAGTGGTATTTAGTATACCATTACAATTTCAGTTGAAGTAATGAGGCACCTATATATCACCGAAGAGGATCGTGGATGTTGACTTATCTCCCTTGTATGTACAGATGTCTTTTATAAATTTAGAAAACAAGAACCTGTTTCAAATTTTAGGCTAAACAAGAGGGGGCCTAACAGGCAAATTTTAACCTAACAGGTTCTTGAAAACTAGGTTCTTAATAACAGGGTTTTACTGCACTTACAGAAATAAAAGAGAGGTCCTGCTACTTGAAATATATATTATGCTAATTTGTAGTTTAATATTAAATGCTAAGTTGAAGATCATAGCCCATCAGGCTACCTATCTGATAAAAAAGGAGGATAACACAACTGTAGGTAGAGCTGGTATATTTCTTTTACTCCTCAATCGGACACTTAATTACTGCCCTTGAAAGAGGAGTTAATGTCAAACAGTTGCCACACGTCAATAAACAAAACTTCAGTGATGCACAGTACCAAGCATTGACATTTTGTCGACGTTACTCACAATAACTATTGAACTCCAATAGGGGAACCACTTTGTTTTTCCAAGGAAACAGTAAAGACTAGATGCTGTACTCAAAGAAAAAAACTCCTAGGAGCCTAAAAGCTCTTAAGCTTTGATATCAAGGTGTAGATCCTGGATAAACGTTTGCTACTAAGATTTCATGATCACCCAAAACAAAACCAAGAATCATAGGCCACTGGGCTCTGCTGGAGTACAGCCTTTCTTAAGGTGCATTCCAAAAATCAGAACTGGCTGGCCAGACCGGTCTTTTTGAAAATAAAACATCAGTATTTTCTCGAAATTTTAACTAAAAACATATATACAGAACATAGCTGCTGTGCACACTATTTAAGACTAAACTGATCTGGCTGGATAGTCCTGATTAATAGTGGAATGCTCATGATGACAAAAAATGGTAAGCACCCTTAGTTTTTGTCAAACCAAATCCGTTAACTCTCTGTTAGAGCTCTGGGTCAATAGCACATGTATGAATAGTCAGAAAGGTGGTGGAAAGGAAAAGTAGTACACTTACAGTCCAGTCGGCTTCATCTTGTTCTCCTTGTTTCTTAAAGTTCTTTGCAGATGCTGACTTTTGCTTTTTGGCCTGTTCAGGTTTGGGCTTTGATTTCTTGTCCTGTTTTCCTCTACCAAACACAGTTTTATCCCAAAGTTTTAACCACTTTAAGAGAGTACGATTGATAGCCTAAGACAAAAAGGTGAAAAACATGTAAAAAAAGAGACTTAAAAATGAGAATTAAAATATGAATAAAATAAACGTAGCACTTGCATTAATAGCACTAGAACCACAGGTTACAGGTGTAGAGAGGGCGTGCCCAGGCAACAAGAACTTTAACCCTCAAACTCCTCACATTGTAGCATTACCAATGTGTTTTTGGTTTTGAGAAAAACCAAAAAAAGAGGCAAAAAAAGTAGAAATAAAAAACGAATAAAATAAATGTAACACTAGCATTAATAGCACGAGAACCACAGGGTACGGGTGTAGAGCGTGAGTGCCCACGTAACAAAAACCTTAATCCTCAAACTCATCACATTGTGACATTATCAGTATTATTTTGGTTTTGACAATTTTTTTTTCAGTTTCAAGATTTGTCTTATCTGGAATTTCAATTTTTGGCTCCCTTGTTCCTCAAACTCATCATATTGTGACATTATCAATATTATTTTGGTTTTGGCTCCCTTGTGATTAAAAAGCACCTGCATCCCAGCTAACACCAAGCAATGTACATGTACCTATATTAGGTAAAGAGATTTTCTGTACATTGTTCTTAAAACAAACTCATTGATAGTTTATTACACCTGGACTAACAATGCAACATTTTTTTAATAATAAAAACAATATCAATAATAATAATAATTGCACCATCATGCTTTCTCAAATGTTTGAACTTGTAACTCTTGCATAACTCTTTTCTGACTGACTCTTCACCTTTATTGTATTATTGTAAAAATACATTTACCTGACTCAAAACATTTGAGTTATCAGTAGGGTGACGGTGGTCAAATTCTAGAAGCAAAGTTAATGACTCTTGCCATCATGTACATTTCAACAGCTACAGGAGAATATAATGAACTGTGAATGTTGCTGCTATAGGCCTTTTGCAAAGCTGATCACGTGATCAACTTTCTGTGTGGTTTTCCACACAAATACTTGTAAACTTTGAAATTTTCAAACTGTTATAAAATATACCCTTAAGCTTTACAGGGCTCAAACTTCCTTTTTTTTAAAAAAAGACAATTAAGGCCGTTACATGTGTAAGCAAAAGATTTAACGACAGTTTAAAAATTTCAAAATTTACAAGGATTTATATGGAATACCACTCAACCATGACTGGGTGGCAAGAGTTGTTTTTCCCATAAAAATCCTTTTAATTATTGGTGGCTGTTACAATCACTACTTTTGGGATGTATAGCTGAAAATTTGCTGGTTACCTAATTTTAATATGCTTTTTCAGTTGAAGCTAACAAAATTTTCCAAAAGCAAACTGTTTTCGTGTTTACACAAAATTGATCACGTAACTAACTATTACAGAAGGCCTATTGCTAAAATCATATCTAGAGACATGAGAGATAATCAAAATCATATTTTGAGATAATAACTAAACAATGATTATAACTGTAAAACTGGAAAGTTTCTCTGTACATATAGATTACATTTTTTACTCACATCATCACTGAGTAGTTCTGTGAAATACTTTGGAGTATATTTTTCAACCCATAGACCATGCTGAGCAGCCTTTCCTTCATCTTTGTCAGTTGCCAACTCTTCTGCTAATGGTTCAAGTTCTTCAACATCTGCACCATCATTGAGCATTCTACATTGCCAAAAAATTAATAGTTACACTGTTTCAAAAATACTTTAGCCTTAAACCCATTACAATCACACCAAGTCAAGCATAAATTATCTCCGGGGGTACTTTAGGAATTTTCGGGCGGGGATGTGCCTCTAGGACCCTGGAACCCTTAGCCCGTACCACAGCTACAATCATTGCCAAAAGTGTTGGGAAGGTTGCCTTTTATACCTCTTTTTTTCCTTCCTACCCAGCCCCTGGCCCAATGTTGAGCAAAACATTGATGTTTGTGCACGTAATAATTGTTCTGTTACATCAAAAGAGAAAAAGAGAAAACTCTCTTTTTTGAGGATTAAAATGGACTACCATTAAGTTGTACAACCTTCCAACCTACTTTTGTCTGTGATTGCAGTTCAAGTGAATTTTGCTACCCTATACTGGACTAAACTCCCCAAATCCCCCCTATCCAAGAGTAGCTGTTTTCCAGAAACTACTGAGGTCTCTAGCACAGTCCAGGAAAAACAAAACCTATTTGTGTTTTTTTGAGTGGCAATTCCCAATTTCCCAAGTTTAGACTAAAATCTTCAAGCAACTGATCAGTTTCCTGGAAAATAATACCCTATTCTAGACCCAAACTCTCTGATTTATATACCCTATCCCGGAGTATTATTGCTTGAAAACCATACCCTTCACAGCGGCACATATCTATATGGCCCATAATTTTATATGGCCCATATATGGCAGTGCCCCACCTGGCATAGCCCTAATAGATTCTTTAAATAGATTAACAAAAGGTCTTGCTGTTAAGAGTTTTAAAACCTACAAAATGAGTATTGGCACACCCTGAACCTACCTATGTAGGGATGCTGTTAATTTCTCTGATTCTTCTATGGCTCTTCTTCGTCTCTAAGAGAGTAAAATAATTAAGGAGGCAGTTTAAAAGATGCCATGGATCAGTCATTAACATACCCAAAAACAAAAGAAAATAAAAACTATGTCCGTACACTTGGTCACTTGTAAGATCATGAGCATGCCATTGTTCGTAGCGCGCATACAATATTTCCTTTTGATGCTAATATAATAATTGTGTAATTAAGAGCTCTTTTAACTATCTATTTGGGGGGTACCTTGCATGGGTCCTTATGGTCTCATTTGTTCTTGCCCCTTTGGGTATAATATACCTTTTTTTCTTCTTTACATCTCATTTTTTATTTCTTTTGTAAAAAGTTTTTACATAATTATGTATAAGATAATGAAACCCGATAAAGCTGTTTAAAAAAAAAAAAGATTACAGTCCAGTTACATAAACATACCTCCTCTTCAACATGTTCACGCAGGACTGAAAATGGAACTGACAGCAGCTGAAGCGAGTTTCCTGGTCCTCTTCTGAATAGTTTCTTTTTGGATGCCTGGAAGAGTTGAAAGACATGCATTGTTATTCAGGATAACTAATGTGAGTTAAATACAGTAATGTAGGTGAGGACCAAGAGAACTGTCTGCAACAGACATATTGACAGTGCAAAAAAAATTATACAATAATGCTGTATGATAATGGCTAATCAGGAGAGGTTTGATTGTTATGGATGTCACTAGCATTAACTGAACGATAATAATAATAATAATCATGCATGCACATTGTGGTATTCACAAACAAATTGGCCACACTGAACTCTGAAATTTCCTTAAGAACTAGCTGAGAGTATTTGATAAAAAAATCAAAGCACCTTCCCTTAGTGATCATTTCCAATAACCTTTTCTCTTGCTGAGGAATTGATCATTAGAAGAAAATTGATGTCAGTCGCTCTCGTTTTGCTGTACATGCACATGTACAGATCTGATGAACAGTCAAATCTGAGCACCTCCCAGAGACTACAATAGTAAACAATTGCTGGATGAAGTTTTTGTGATATCCAGAATAATCAAGGTCAAGGTTAAGTGTTACCAGCCGAGCTGAAGGCCAAGGGTGATAACACTTACCGAGACCTTGATTATTTAGGATATCACAAAAACCGAATTTAATAATAATGACAAACACACCATCACAAGGAACCTGAATTGATATTGTTATTGGAAATCATGCATTTCGTGCACAACCTACAGATTAGTCAGTTATCTGCTAGCAGATAACTGACTAATCTGTAGGTTGTGCTGATTTCCAAAAATACATGTAGGTGTAGGCTCTTAGCCAATGAGAAGACAGATAGTGAGTACAATGCATAATAATAACTGTTACTATTATAAAGTGAGAATGTAATGCTGATAAAAACAAATGCAATAGTAAAATGTCATCATTTAGTCCAACAGAATGCAATGGCTCTCCCTCAAGAGGGTACCCAGTTTGTAACAAATGGTAAGAATGATGTGATTCTATTAAAAACAGTCATGATTGTATTTATATACCTTAGACTGTATTGAAGATTTCTCTTCATCCCTATCACACTTGATTGACAAGTAAAGTCTCTGTCCATCCGTTCTTGTAACAGAGACTGACTCACAACTCATAGGAGGTCTGCGAAATACCCTCCTTCTCTCTGGCTTAGCTGAAGACAATTCACTTGACTTTCTTTCAACATTGGCATAATTCTGATTCAGCAGTGGGTTGGGTTGAATCTGTCTCAGTGGACTGCGTACACTTCCAAAGTTAGGCAGCTGATGGTTTGTGTCACTAGCATCTCCACTTTTACCAGGACTAAGGCGAGCTTTCTTTCTACAAGGAGCTGCAAGGTTTATTACAAACTTTGACACAAATAATCAGCGTGCAAAAAAAGTTGTGTCCGATAGCCTAGGTAAAATCGGCATGGGATTTTTTTTGCGGTTATTTTTTGGTCAAGGGACATTTTTGGGCCTTGTTGGAGGCCCTAAGGATTTTTTTGGGCTTTTGATTTTGCCCCCATTCAATCATCCCTGTCAGTTGAAATCAGGAGTACACCCTGGGGCTTCACACTGTGATGACACCAGTTTATGGTTTCAATGTAGTTATTTATCATGTTTTCAACTGTTTGTAGGAAAAATTATTGACACTAAAGGTTACAGTGTGCTGTAAACTTATCTGTTCTGAATAGTTTAAAAACAAGATTGGAAGTTCTTTGAATAATATCAACAGAAATTTATTCAAACAAAAAAAGGTGATTCACATCAATAGCTCCCTATTTTGCTATCTAATTTTGGCATGAAAACCAATGAAGAAATGCATGCATAAAATCAACAACATGCCTTTACAACCCTCTACAAGTTTTTTCCATCCAGATGAGCCAATCTGCTTGTGTTTCCAGTAAAATCCTCTATCTATTTATATTTTTGGATAGGAAACCATGGGCATATCAAAAGCTCCGGGGTGGCCCCACGGATGGCAAATGCCCGTCCCTCAGGCGGCGCAAAATTTGCTAATGCCCCACCTCCGGGACTGACAAGGCGCACAAATGCCCACAGTGGCCGGGGGGAGGGGGGGAGGGTGCAGATGGAATTGAACTGATGCATAACTTTTCAAACAGAACAGTTGGTCATGTAGATGCACCTTAATTTCGAGTGTTTCATTACCTGGAGTGGAATCAAGCTTGTCCATTCCATTAGCGTCATCATCGTCATCAGAGAGAGGTAAGAACAATTCATCACAATCTCTTTTCTTTGACTTAGTTTGTGCTGCCATGTTGTTGTTTTGATGAAATCCATTTACAGTAAGCCCATTTTCACCAGCTTTCTTATCATCATGGAAATTCAGGCTCCTCTTTGATGGAGGAGCAAAATCTGTGTAAAAATTAATGGCATGGGATTTGTTAACTCTAGCAAGGCTCGAAAAAAGTCTCGTCCAGTAGTCCAAAATAAGTAAGTCCTTTGGGGTACCCGTTTAAAAATTTTGATGAGCCATTCAAACGGGTAAGTAAGCCGTGCGCCTGTTCCTGTTAGCTGTTTCAAAAACTTGACGACCCGTTCAGCCATTCGATGAACCTTTTCGAACGGGTGAATGAGCCGTTTGCAACCAGTTCAGAAGGCATGCGTTTCACTCGTTAAACGGAAAGCTGTTAGTGTACGTTTTCCTGAGAGAGGTCACATTTTTTTATCATGATGTGGGGACATTCTTTAATTTTATCCTTGGTTTAAATTTTCTTTAACTGAACTTCATTTTCATGCATTAGCAAAACCAATAACAAAGGAAAAAATCTAAACCAAGACAAAGTTGAACCACAACATATCGGGCATTGAGGTGGTTTGCCTTGGTGTAAAAAACCTTTGAGGTTTTTCTTTCACCGTTTTAAAGCTTTGACTTTCTTTGTCTTACGTCACTCGTGAGTTTTATTGGTTCCCTCAATGAAGAAGAGCCGCGTGTGGTGAGAAGGGAATCGGGCAAGTAAAACTGAGGACCTTCACCGGTCCTTAGCCACGTGGCTACGTTGTCTTCTCCGACCCCGGAAAACCTAGGCACATAAACTTCATTGAACGTTTTTAACATTCTTGCGTTACTCCATATTGCCCAGTTTTGACTGGTATACTAAAAGTAAGGTCGCTTTTTACTTGTAAACACTGTACATCGCGGCTGCTTTACGAGTGAAAACCTGCTGAAAACTTACCTTCTTCGTCCAAATCATCCAACATCTCCAATTCATCCGCATAGCGATATTCAAAGTCATCTTGTTCGGGTATTTCCCACTCCTCCATTTTGGAAGATTTGGCCAAGAAATTGAACGTTCTTCAAGTGGATACTTGCATCCTTCTCTCCGCCATATTGCTATACAAACTCCCGCCAAAGTCACTAGTCACGTGGTCATTTTATCCAGGCTTTCACGGTTCTTATAGGACGCTAGCCTCCCGTTCAGACGTTTTTTATTGACTGTTTGTTTGCTTTATTATATATTTCAATTCAGGGCCCTGATTTGTTTACTTGTTTGTTACTGCCAACACCTTTTGCAGCTTCCAAAGACCACGCAAAGGCTCTGTAACACCTCGCGTAGAACGGCAGATTTTGAAAATATACTTTAAAAGAAGCTGGGATTAAATGAACTCTCTTGTATACAGGAATTTCCAGTTTTCCAGCTATACTATTTAAGTAAAACTGGTTTCCATTGCTATAAAAAGTGGTGTGGTACGGTGTGGTTTAGGGAATTTCGCCTCTTTCTGACTTTCATTCTCAGGGGATTCAAAGGAAGGGGTTTTTCCCTTTCCCATAATGCAATGCTAACCGGTAGTATACTTTCGAGCGCATGAACTACATGGTTAGCAAAGAGAAGAAATTCAAGCTAAAGTGCAGAACGCAAACTCTATTTAGTACGGTGGAGGCTGAAAGTATCTCGTGCTATTTGCTGTAGGAACTATTCCCTCTGACTACTGAAGCCACTATGAAATTTATGTACAATCCTTAAGAAAACCTCGATGGGAAAATGAAATCGACGAAATAACTAATTGAATTGTAAGCGGAAGTGTAGAACTATCTCAACCAGCACAGCTTTCTTTATCCAGCAGCGATGGAGGATAAATTACGGTGGAAATTCAATGTTTTTTTGCTTCAAATAGCGAAGGAATTGACAGAAGGGGACCTTCAGCAAATGAAATTTGTCTTGAGGGGATATGTAACATCTGCTAAATGCGAAGATATGAAGGCTTTACAATATGTCGAGGAACTTCAAAAACTACTGCTTCTCACGCCAACAAAACTTGAGATTTTTAAAGAAACACTCACTGTGATTGGACGTCCAGATCTTGTTGAGAAGATTGAAGAAAAAGAAGCGACCTTTGCCACTCTTCCTGGCGAGAACTTGGAACAGAAAGGTTGGTAATATGGCACCAAGTTTGTGGTTCTTCATGATCCATGAGATCCTCTAGCACTGTGCGTTTCACTTGTCATTCTTACCCTCCCCCCCCGCTCCCGCCCGTACCATGAATTTCGATCAGTCGTTTTCTTTTCTCGGTGGTGTCATTTGATTGTATTCTTGGTTTGCAACCACATGACAAGGCGGCCATGTTGAGGATCAATACAATAGAATTTTGTCTCGAAGAATTTACATGAAAGTAGAGTTTAGTTCCCAATTAATAAATCAAATGGTCTATAGTAATATTCTTATTGATAGTTTGATTATCGATATGACCTTTTATTATTCTATTGATCACTATTAATAATTAGTCAATGAAAATTTGGATTTCCATCACAAAATCGGATTTAACAGGTTGTGTTTTTGTTGTTGTTGTTAAGATGTTCCCACATGAACCCTCAACCAGATGTAACAACGTCTGTGGTACCACGACCCAGTCCTGTCAGTTGTGACATTGTCAATTTTTTGCTTAACTCGGACAGGGAGAGTGGTCATACCAACCATGCTCAAATGTGTGTGACTGGGACAAACTGATCAGAGGAAAACACAGAAAATCTTTCGATGTTGACCAGTGAATTTCGAGGAAAATTTTGCTTCCCTACGTGCCTGTACTTCCGTTAAAATTTTATCAAGATCCTTAGGGTTGTCTGAACAAATAAGTATTCATTTTTGTTATTGGGGTGGTTTGGTTTTTTAACCCCCCTCCACCCCCTATTCCTAGAAATAATTTTGCTGGGGTCCCTAACAATTTGCGGGTGGCAAGAGAGAGAAGGTGTTACTATAGTAACATGCACAAATGATCCATTGTTTGTGAATTTCAGAGTATGATGCAGTTTGTGATGGCATCGAAAAAGCAGCAGCCGCCGGAAAGTTCAAGAGTTTACCACGAGCTGACCTAAGTGCTTCTAAATGTAAGGGCTGATTAGTGATTTCTAACTTTTAAAAAAGTGGAAGACTGGGTATGACTGGGTATGCCACGGGTAGCCAATCAAACACAGATTTCAGCCATTGAAGCATACATAAACCCTTTTTGCAGGAATTCCTCCCATTTTTTCGCTTTTATATTACTATATCTCTTTTATAAGATTATTGTTATCCAATTCAAAGAGCATATAATAATATTATTTCTACTCTACCTCGGGCTTCTCATTTCATTCTAGCTAAACAAAATAATTTAAGTAATGTAAAATGTAGAAAATTAGTAAAAAATGAATTAATGAATTAATAAATAAATATGTTTGATCCATAGATCGACCAAAAAAGATCAGTCTTTCAAAGTCCCAGTTATACTCGGATGGATCACTGCAAGAGGGGTCCAAGCTTGCACCAGACCACAAACTTGCAGGGTTGGCAACAGGTGGTGAAACTGGTCAAGTTGACATGGCAAATGGAGGAGACTTGCCTGATGCTTTGAGTCCAGGTGCAGGGCTGAGCAGTGTCAAGGATCTAGAAATCAACAAACCTGCTTCCGGTGAGTCCTGTGAAAGTACAGTTATGGATGGCACTTGTTTGGAAAAGTCTCCGCTTAGACCCAATATGACCGGTTTTGGCACCGGAGTGGCAAGTTCGACAACCTCAACCAGTAGGGAACCAGGTGATGATGATGATGATGATGATGATGATTGTGTTACTGATGGCGATCCAAACAAGGAAGGAGAATCCAAAGAGGTGACAGCTGGTCATGAGGGATTAAACACCAGCACTGCTGCATCTGGTTAGTAAAATATGTATGTGCTTGATCCTTGAACCCTCAATAAATCCACATACATTAATCCTCCAGACAGATTGCCATACATTTCCTTAAAGAATTTCTTGAGAGAATTATATGCAAGATAAAGGAATTTTTTTCGGTTAAGACCCTGTTCAATTCGTACAATGACAAAAAATAGTGTTTGGCATTTGCACAAAATTTGTCATCACCAATTTTTCATTTTTGCAACCTTGTTCGCATCTGAGACATGCAAATAAGTAGAAATGTCAAGCAAAGGTACTTTAATAATTGGTCATGTTTTACAAACTGATATGACCCGACGAAAAACCCCATACTAATGTGGGAACTCAATGAATTTTATAGATGGAATTACGTATACGATATAAAAGTAAAAATATTAAAACTACTCATAATGTGTTACAATCTAATGAGAATCTAAAATGAGTGATATTCGAAATAAGACTAAGGAGAACTGTAAAATTAAATGATTATGATGAGCAGAGAGAACAGCTCTTACATCCATCATCTATCATTGAGCTTACATCATTTTTACGAACTCTGCTTTAAAAAATGTTTAAAGTTTTCACTGATGTTAATTCAGGAGGTACTGAATTTTTGCCGTAACCTAAGCCCAAGATACTTTAAAGAGTGTTTACCAAATGTTACAGTATTATATCTAGTATTATATAGTATTAGTACAGTATTATATCTTGTATTATATCTCTATATTTTGAAATGTTCATTTGACGTTTCTGTTTGGTAATTTCAATGGTAACATCAGAGAATTATTGTCCGTAAAGCGAGGTTGAAATATATGAGAGTTTGTGACTCAGAAAACAAAAAAGTGTTTGTTGTTGGTATTAACTGGTGTCTGTAGTACGCGGGTTAATTCTAGAGAAAAGGTATGAAGTTTGCTTTGGGACAAGCGAAACTGTCTGTTATAAATGGATGTCCATAGAGCGGGGCTCCACTGTAGTTGTTCAGTTAGAAACCTGAAAAGAGGAGTAACAAGCTTATTATTAATACCTTTCTGATTTTGTCATTGTAAACCTGTAATTCAGCCCCATACAATTATGTATTTTTTTCCACCTTCAGGGGCTACTGTGTCATCAAGTGCCAAGGAGCCAACAGAAGCTATTTATACAAGCAGTTCCTCCCCTAAAGGAGAGATTGTTCTAGATGATGAAGGCCTTGCTGGGGAAACTTCCATGAAAGACCCATGCGAGAGTGAACCTTCCGAGGCATCGAGTGCCAAGGAGCCATCAGAAGATGATTATACAAGTAGTGACCCTCCCAAGGGAACAATCTCTCCAGATGATGATAGCCCTGCTGGAGATGTTCCCATGGAAGAACCAGAGGAAAGTGAAACTTTGCCAAAGTCAACTCAGCATAAAGCTGGTCATGATCCTTATGGGGGAGCAAGACCAAAAGAAAAAAAGGGTTGCCATGGTGTCTCTTTAGGAAATACAAATCAAAGTGGTAAGGAGCAGGTTGAACAAGGTTGACATTCTTTCTCATTGCTTTGGGTTTGTATTATGATATAAAGTAGGAAATAATACAAATTAATAAAATATGAATGAATGGTTCCATATGCCTGCCCATTGACCTGATCCAGGGTCACTTTAAATTCTTAAGCAGCATTAAGGTAAAATGGAATGATTCAGAGGTTTTTCAGTGGGTTTGGGGTTCCAACCAAACAAACCCTTCTCAGAAAGAGTAATGTATAGGCATTTTGGACACTGAGAATGCAAAATTTGAGTCTTTCTTGCTTCATATTTATCCAACAGTCACATTTGTGAGCTAGCTGTAATCTTGATTACCATCTTCAAAATCGTACACTTCCCCCCTCAAACTTTGTATACTGTTTTTTTATATATTGATGACTGTGACTTGGACTGTGCTGATGATGCATTTTGTTCTACTGATGATGCGCTTTTTATAAAGCATATTAATATTTCTCTTCTCAGAGCTGCAAATTATCAATCATCAGACAATGTCTGACCAAACTTGCCAAAGTTATTGTACCAGTGGTCAGACATGATGATTAGATGGATCAACAAGAGACTCTCATTTTGTACCTGAAGATTTGCATCATAATTTAAAAACAAAATTCAAAGTCAAGATGATAATGTCCAACACCTTTTTTCTTTTAACTTTGTCCAACTAAAACAATGACCTGGTTAGGCATAAAATGTCATTTTTTCGTAAAAGAAAAATTATTTGTAGGCCTGTCTCTCGATTTGTTTAAGTTCCATCAACAGCACCCCATGGTTTCTTGATTCCAGAGAAAGAATCTAGCAAGGTGCCAATTGAAGATGAGTGCGCCTCTCCTACTGCACCACACCCCAGTGATCCCATGAAAGATGCTGAGGGAACTGAACCTTCACAGAAAAAAGCCAAGTCCTCCCAGTTTGTACCAGGGCCTGGTGCCAGTTCTAAAAGCCAACATGGACTTGGTGTGTTCCAAGGTGACTCAAGTGGAGGTGCATGTGGCTATGCAAATCCATCTGGCTCAGATCAAGGCTTGCCACCTGGACCTCACTTGAGTGGAGCTGCAATGCCTTCAGTTGCCCCGCCCATATCTAGTGGCAGTGCTGGTGCAACATTAGGTCCACCCTATGGTTTCAACCCAGATCCATTTGGATCCCCCTTCCCAAGTGGAGGTGCAATGCATTCAGGTGCCCCGCCCATGTCTAGTGGCAGTGCTGGTCCAACACCAGTTGCAGCCTATCAGAAGGCTGGCTATACAGTGGCAATCAGCAATGGTTCTCTCTGCTACAGTGGTGAAGATAAGGGCATGGTCATGATGAAAAGTGGGACACCGTTTGTTATTCTAATAGCCAATGGCAATAGTCATGGTAAGTAGTAAAGAGCAAATTGTTTTAAAACTGTCTGAGGAAACAGCTACATTGTGTATAAGCAGAAACTATGTAGGTATTTGCATTCTTAAAATAATTTTATTCAAAATACCTGCCACTGATAGCTATAATTAGTGCAGTCATTAAAATTCAATAAAACATTATTAGACTTAACTGTTTATTTCCTAAACATAGTGAAATTACAATAATGGTAATGAGTCACAAGATGGTGGTACATGTACTAAACAATCTGGATACCTCTTACAGATGGGCATAAGTAGTCTAATGGAGATCCTTTGTTGAGTATTCTTGAAGTATTGGATGAAATGTCATAACACTGCTGAATTCAAAATAATCATTCCTTCTGTTTGTGAGTTTCTGCAAGTCTCTTTAGGTTTTATTTGAAATAGAGCATGTCGGAATTTCCAGGTTTTGCATCTTTGTGATATTGAGATAACAGCAGCAAAACCTACCACTTTCATAAAATTACAATTTTTGTAATGTGTGGGTTTTGTTGTAAGAATGTGTCTATGCTATTGTTTGTTACTGCCGTGTTAGAAGTAAGTTCCCCCTTTTTTGTCTCTTTCTTCCTAAAACCCTTTATGTCATATTTTGATGAATTCCATACCAAAAATGCACAGTCCTCTTGCAGAAGTAATATATTAGTACTATCAATATTGTTTTATTTCTAGCTGCTGAAGTAGACATAACATTTGGAGGAATTTATCTTGGGGTGTGGATAGCAGAAGCCAACAGCCAGTTAACGTCCAACCACCTGATTATAGAAGGTTCATCTTGGGCACCTGGCAGGCTGACATACTTCAGCAAGGGGGATGCCGAGAGACAAAAAGTCAATGCTGAGTTTTTTGGGCAAGAGCCAGAACTGAATGGACAGATTGTCCTGGAGTTTAAGCCAGAAGTGTTGATGCTTAAACTTGTTGTCAAGCATCTTTGGAAAACGGGAACACAAAAGGAGATATCCATGCCTGACTTTCAGACGGCAACTATTGGTGAATTAAAAGAAAGGATTAAACAGAAGTATAAGCCTGATGTATCATGTTTAGTGATGGGTGGAAAAATTCTTAACGAAGACAAAACCATGAGGTGAGTCTAACACATTGGCATGTGTTAGAGAACCAGGGGGGACTCCCACATGAAAATGACATGGATGTTCCTTGTCTCGCCATTTTTTATTTTATTTTATTTTTTTTCAATGTTATTTATTTTACCACAAAATACAAATGGCAAGAATACAAGATTATCACAGGAGAAAATGATTGTGGTGAGAAAACCCAAAAAGAAACCCTAAGTCTTATAAACATTGGGCTCCGTCAGAATGTATAGGTATACGTTACAATAACGGGTATAGAAATTGCAAATTTGGTCTCCTTAAGGTAAGGGTGTCCAAGATGGAAAATCAATATTATTGTTTTGAATCATAAACAAACGTGTCACATTTGCAGGGTTTTATATTTAATCTTACAAAATGTGGACTTTCTCTAAAGGTTTATGTATTCTAATATCTTTTTGCAGCTGTAATGCTGTCATATTTTTTTGAGACAGCAATGTGCAGCGGAGGTAAATTTGTTTGACTGGAATGATTTGCCCGTGGGCAAATTTGACTGCAAATTTTTGAAAAAGTCAAATTGGTCTTACATTGATAGGTGCATTATGCTTAAAGAAATATCTTTTAAAATGCTGTCATTTTTTTTTGAGTATTAATTGCAAAGATTGGTCTCATTATTAAGGGGTTTCTAATTTTCTCACGAGCATCTCTTCCATAATTATGAGAGTCCTCCCAGGGTAAGACAGAATTTCTTTAACCAACTGATTTGCAGATAATTATAGGTAGGTATAGTGTTTATAGAAGCAGTGCAAAGTGTTGTCTTGATCAGGTAGATTTGGTATTTTTGTGTCTTAATTGTACAATACTTGTACAGTTTTTCTCCTGCCCTGTAGAGTGTGCTTTTGTTATTTACCTTTCCAAACACACCTCTGCGAACTAACATAGGGAATGAAGATTTTCAAAGGGCGAGGGCCAAACAGAGACAGGGGAGAGCAAACACATTGCCAAAGGAGGGGTGGGTGGGGAAAAAAGTTCTTACCGCATCATAATTCCCAGTCACCTGGCAAAAGACACTAAAACGATCATAATTGGTCACTGTAGACACTGATGACATGGAATCTTATTTTCTGAGGTGTTTTAGAGATACCAGATTTTCTGCATTTTATGCTTGCTAAATTTGTAGAATAATGATTGGAGAATGAAAATTATGTCTTTGTTCCCACAGTTCCCAAGCAATGGAAAACGACAACGAGGTAATTGAGGTCCTTTACACAAAAGAGGAGCTGATGATTGAATCTAAAGGCCGAGATCCCATTCCAATGACTGTGGACCCTTTCAATCTTTCAGTTACGGATGTGAAAGATTTCATTGAACAGAAATTGAATATTCCAGTGTCAGAGCAGTACCTTCGTTTCAATGGGCAAAATGTGGAGGAAATCGATTTACTTAACGAATTGTTTTTAAAGTCGAAAGAGTCACCAAAAATTAAACTGGACAAGGACAGAGAGATTGAGATCAATGTTTCTTCAAGTTCCCGTGAAGGCCCCCAAAAAATTACCATAAAATGGTTTGCAACAGTGGATGAGCTCAGGAAAAAGCTGATAGAGCAAGGCGTCTGTGAAACCATCAACACTTTACAGGTGGATGGTGTTGATATTTCAAGTGAGGACAAAACAAAAACGTTGATTGATCTTAACTTCAAGCCAAAATCAGCATTAACAGTGCATTCAGCGACTACCCCAAAGCGCGGCACTCTCAGGGGATTCTCTGCTAATGATTTTGGGTAAGATTAACTTTTTCACTATTAGTTTGCCTTTGTAATAACCAGTGTAGGCATTTGTAAAAAGGGCACATGATTGCTTTACAAAAGGGTCCTCCCACACAGTAACTTTATCCAAGAGTCGTAGTACAGTTCTTGCTTGTAGACTGCTGGTTGTAGTGTAGGGGGGTGGAGGGGCACACCGTGTCACACCCAGGGTACTTTCTAGATTGTTAAGTTTACATCCATGCTGTGTTTTACTAAAAGTGAAATGAGCAGTGAGCATTGGGGAGCGACAAGCTTACAGAAAGGTGCATAATATTGAGTCGCACGATGAAGGACTGAATATGTTGTCTATGTGGACCATATTTTGGCCTATGACAAAAACACCTTGATACGAAAATTTGGTTTATCAGCATTCCTGCAGAGAAAAGAGAAGGCACACCTTTCACAATAGGGGAGGGGTTCTCTGACAAACTTATCCCCCCCCCCCGCACTAGCTACGCCCCTGTAGGCGCAAAACAAGAAGTCACATTTGCAAGAATACTTAAATATACTATTAATATAGTAAATTGTCTTCAAGACAGTCATCAAAATCACGTGAGTGTCCGCGTTACAGAAGTGTCTGTATTTTGGTAAAAACTAACTAGCATATTATCACAAATTTTGCAACTGATTGGCCAACGTACTCTCGAGTTAGGGGCCGACGATTTGACTTTTGACGGGGGATATGGGTAATTTGGTTTGGGTAAAATTTTTTTCTCCAACCCTCTGGAGAAAGACGTGACATACCACGGTGTAAGATTTTTTTTCAGCATTATTAGCCATGAAATATATTTTTTTCAGTGTAGGAATTTCTTTCCTTGCAAGAATTTTTTTCCCTTGTAGTCAGTCTGCAGGATATTTTTTTCCAAAATCACCCATACTCCCCTCAAACGTCAAATGGTCAGCCCATTATGGATATGACCTAAGGTATAACCTCAGAAAGCAGAAGTAAAGTGGTCACTTTTGCAGTGTACCTGTAAAGTTTTATTATCTATTTTCTTTCCCCCCCCACAAAGGTCCCGTACAAGAGGATTTGGCTTTGGGCATACAAGAGGATTAGGTTCCGAACAAAGTTCCAGTTTAAAGTCACGATATCGCGGGAATGGTGATCTTCCAGGTATTAAACATTTATCCATTACCAAAAGACTCACAGTTGTTTGAACACCACAATGATTTCCTTCTTTGTCGAACGCTTTGAGATGCAGTGGAAGCTCTGTAAACGGACACTCTCGTAGGCGGACAGCTTTACCTACGGCCGCCTTCACAAAATCCTGCTTTTCTCAACTCCCAATCAAACTCTGTAGTTTTGTGATCCCGTAAGCGGCCAGATCCAGTTACGAGCACCTTTCTCGCGTCCCAAGGGTGTCCGCTCACGAGAGTTTCCCCTTATATATACCTGAGAAGAGAATTTGCGTTAAAACTGGCTTGGTGATTTACGGTTAAGTATGTGTTCAAGATTTATAGAAGAAACCGACTTGCGTATTCGCAAAAAATTCTGCAAAAGCCAAAAAGATAACAGTTTATTTATAGAGAATCACTTTTTTTGTTCATAGGATCAAGCACGTTACGCGCTGGAGCTGATGGGATACAACACGATAGTGCAGCGGTTCGCACCAGGGTAAAATCGACATATTTATTCCATTTAGCATTTGGTTCCTCCTCCGACTCGTAATGGTTCTTTGTAAAACTGCATAATTTTAAGCAAACATTGAGTTGCGTTATTTATATCTACATGAAATCTTCAAGAGTGAATCTTTGAGTTAAAGCTTGAAGTTTTGTATTGAATTGTTTCAGTCTGAAATCGCTGATTATGGGCCATAATTTATGGCAGTTCCGATGCTTTACTTTATTGGTACTTGAGGGATTTTCAATTTAGTTTTGACTGACAGTTTTTCACTCTGTTTTCTCTTACATCGTTACGCCTTCTGATTAGGTAAACAATCTCACCCCACTTTGTCAGCCAGTAAAAACTGAAAACATTACTTTCCCGGCCGCTGCATTGCCTTTTTCCCGCGCTTAGCTGGCTACGTTGTAACACCATGTTACTGGTTAAAACAAACTTGCCCCACTTTGTTAGCCAATCAAAACTGAAACCAATGCTAGCTCGCACACTTTTTTTTTAGCTTAACTGCAGCTGCATTGTTACACTATGTGATTGGCTAAAACAATCTCACCCCACTTTGTCAGCCAATCAAAACTAAAACCAATATTTGTTCGCACACCACTTTTTCCCCGCGCTTGAACCTGGCTGCGTTGTTACGCGATGTGAATGGCAAAAACAATTTCGCTTTACTTTATCAGTTCCCTTATTTTTGTTACTGGCATTAATTGGAAGAAAAACATATGCTTGCTTTTATTGTTCACCTTTTTGGCCCTAGCTATGTTGGATTAATAGCTCTGAGCTCTGATTTTGATTCACTGAATTGCTTGCCTGCTGTGCTGTGGCTGTCCATTTGATATCAAGACCCATGACTGAGATGCCTTTCCATTTTTTTTTTTCCATTCTTTTTACTAGCCTTTGCAAAATCGTGAGTTTACGCACTCTGGGTGTAAGTTAAGCGCAGATTCAGTATCGGAGTTGGGGTCTACAATCTTATGTTTCGTTTTTCTGCCTTTACATTTTAGTTGAACGCCTTGGCCCCGAACTCCAGTCGTTGTTTTACCGACACACTCGCACTCTATATTTTTGTGGTAAATTTTCACGCGTAAACAGGGTTTTCCATATGCTTATAATTTCCTTATTTCCTTATGTTCTTTATGTTTTCAAGAACCAGCACTTTGGTTGGCGTTGCACTTCTGACCCAGCCTTGTATTATGATTATTAAGTGATGGCGAATCTCGTTTTTTCCCTATCCACTTTAGGAGGGCGTAGTCATGCTCCATGGCAATGAAGAGAATGTGCACAAAAATTTTCGAGTAGACAGGGAGGAGTGGAAATTTTCAAAGGAAAAAGCAGTTATTCTCACGATTCAACTCATAGACCAAAGGTACTTTAAACTCGCAACACCCGCCAAGATCATTCTGTATATCAATAAAAATACTAGCACCTCTTTCTGTACTTATATTAGAGACCTTTAGATTCAAGGACGAGAACGACTACGAGTGCGAGATTTGACTTCAAGTTTTTTCGCGTATTCTCAAAATATAGACTCCCCGGAAAGCTTCATTTTACCATTTTTCACTAGAAAAGTTGGCACTGTTACCTTTAGTGAAGGAGGTTGCACCCTATCCTGATGGCAAAATGATAAAACTTCTAACATTTGATAACTTGTTTCCGCAACTTCGACATTCTCGCTAAAACTCGTAGTAGAATGACGACGGCTACCACGGTTTCCCGCCAAAATGACGCTGGTTCACGCGCAAGCACTACTTAGTATTGAGAAAATCTCGTACTCGTAGTCGTACTCGTCTTAGAATCTAAAGGTCTCTAATTGCACGCATCTACAACGTCACAGGCACAGATCACATGCAGTTGTTCACTTTGATTCTAAAGGCGGAACAATAACGAAAGCTCTTGGGTAGTGCTTTCCGATAGTCTTTTTATAATATTACGGGTTGTTTCTTTTGAGACGTTGGGCGGAGCGAAGTCCTATCAAATGCATTGACTTTCCCCTCCCTCCCATGGGGCTAGGGGATGGGATGCGGATTGTATGTTGCTTCTGGCGTGTCGTGTTGTGTACTGATAAATAACAAATCTCATTTCATTTCATTTAACATTGCCCTTATCTAATCTTCATCTGTCCACCATGCTTGGAATGCTATTGTACGCTGAGCGCGATTAAAGTGAAAAAAGTAAATAAGAACATATACAAAGAAATCCGGCCATCATATTCATTGTCAGCATTTTTATTCACCCCTTTACATGTCATAGTACCGCTGAGACGTTCTTACGGCTTCATCACGTGCTCCCAAGAACGTCTGCGTGGGAGGCTATTACACCATTGCTTTCTGTAAACTGACTCCTTGTTTTCTTTTATTGCAGCACCGGAGGAGTTTCGGGTCCTTCGCCATCCTATATGCCTACAGGAATTCATGGCCCAGGAGATCCAAGAAATCCAATGTCAACTCTCGTCCCACCCCCCGTACCAGAATAAGAATTTGAGTCCTTAGGAGCGGACCATTTAACTTTTGAGGTGGGCGGGGAAATGGGGGATTTCAAAATGAAGTCTGCGTTGTAACAAAAATTAGGAAAACTTGATGTAGATGTAGCTGTATTGTTGTAAAACAATTGCAGTCATTCTTATCGCGGTTGCACTAGCAAACAGAGAGTGAAACTGTTTTTGTTCAAACCAGTTAGGTCTTGTTACTAGTTAAGTACACGTAGGAAAGGAAGGAAAATCCTGTGCTTTTGTTCAGCTTAGACATACAGCATGGTTTCACTCCTATTTTAGCCAGAACGTCTGCGTGGGAGGGCACTCCTGTCACTGCTGGCCAAAATGAAAGTGCACAAAAATTCCCGAATTCTGTTTTGTAAACCCCCGCAAAGTAAATACCGTAAAATTCTGAAAATAAGCCCCGGGGCTTAAGTTTTTCAAAGGCCCTTTTTGAGGGGCTCTTTTTTGGAGGGGCTTATATTCGGAAGGGCTTATCTATGGAGTGAAATTTGCGTTTCAAACTCGATTGGGCTAGGCCTATAGTTGGAAGGACATTTACCGTTTTTGCTTTGTTTTGCTTTGTATTCAAGCACAAGCCCCAGGGGGGCTTATATTTAGAGGACTGATTTAACGAAGGGTTTTTTTGCGTTACGAGTTCGGGGGGCTTTTATTTGGAGGGGCTTATTTTCTCAATTTTACGGTAGCTATATAGCTAGCCGTAAGTTTTCACCTGACAGAAGGTACAAAGGCGTGTCACTGGTGCGTGGTCGGATTGCGTTCTATACAGTTGACGACGGGAAAGCGTGCAGCAAGGACTAAACGTGACTTTCGGTTCGTTCTATCATTGGTCAAACCAGTTGTTTGATTTGCGCCCGCCGTCGTTAACTGAAGTTCCCGTTCTGTTGCTAAATCAGCCTATTTTTACATGCCGCACATGCGTAATAACAACCTGCAGATTAGGATTGCGGGATCCTTAAATCGTTGTCAAAAAATATGTTGGTTTACTATGGTTATGATCTCTTTCTGTGTTTATATCAAATATTGTTCATTTACTGATCATGACTCAATAGTTTATACATTGTAACTTATATTCCGCTTGATACTAAACAGCAGAGAGCAACGTCTAAGAGCTTTGGCAACACTGAGTAAACGTTTTATGCTATTGCTACCCTAAGTGAGAGAGGTGTTATTAAAAATTACTTTGGAAATGGTATGTAACTCTACGATAAATTTTCCTAGTTGTCGGTAAATTGTAGCGAAAACTAGTAAAACTAGAAATTCTTGAATTAAATGTAGTATAAAAGTGTTTTATTTTGGTAATGATGAATTGTTGTAATTTTTTTAATTGTAACCCTTGCAAAACAACTTGTTTGTTGTTTTTGTTGTGTATTGTGAAATATTCACAGTATCGATTTTTTGTTGTCGTTGTTGTTGTCTATTGTGCAATGTTCACAGTATCGAAATCTAAGTTAAGAAAGGAAATGCTTTCCTTCGAAAATTGTGCCGTCCCCCTTGGGCTTAGAGACACCTGAAGATCACTGTTTCCGTTTACTGGTACTGGTAAATTACCAATACTTGTAGCCTTAAATACAGGTAGATTAATTACTTCTTACTCCAGAGACGCGGTAGGCTATTGGGCAGAACGGTCCTTTATCACATCTGGGTAATCATTGTTGCCTTTTATACAACTGCCAAGCAAAGATGTTCACCTATCAAAAACCCCCCTAGGCAGAAACAGTGTTAATGCTTAGGTTATCAGTGAGAAAATAAAATTGACTTGAGAGGGGGATTAATGATGAAGTTATCCGTAGGAAAGAAGCCTCAGTAGCAGACACTCGAAACTACGTTTGTTTTACGATGGTTTAGACGATCTCAAAAACGCGCTCGGACCACGTGACCCGAAACGCACCAGCCGCGCTGAAAAGGGGGGCCTAGGGCCGCCTGCAATGCGGTTTATGGGATCGATCGGAAGGTTGGATTTTAATGGCAGTCAAGTTGTCCGGTCCCTAACACACTCCCCCGAAGCATGATTCAGAAGTTACGCTTTCCATAACTACACCATACATATTTCTTGGACACCAGAGATGCCTCAGCCTTGTCCCCAGGGCTTTTGAGGAACGGGCTTCTCCTAAAAGGGTACAGCTCTGGGACGAGGTTCGAGGTGCCTCATATTTCCTATCTTATTCTCCACAGACCACAGAAAGGGGCAGGAAAGATTAAAGGGGAAAAGGAGATCATCACCAGAATTCCACCCACTTTTCGTGTTAGTCCCGGAGGATACTCCCCATAAATTACTTTGAGGGGGTGCCATGCACAAGGGGTTTCCTTCTCAGCCCTCGGGGTGCATAAAAGGGCAGTGATTTCACAACCTGAGGGGAAAAAACGGAAAGGTCAAAGGACATCTCCCATCTGCCATCTAGGTTCTTCCATGAATTGGTTTTTCGAAGTTCTATTTAAGGGGGTTTATCATAAGCAAAGTGGGAGCAACAATAAACGCGTTTCTGTGAGTACATGATAGGGGTTCGATTTCCCGTGGAAGGTATAAAGACACCTACCTTTATGGTAAATAGTCTGAACCTCCGTGGACTCTGTACGGAGTTTGAGATGCCTCTTCCTCCCCCCGCCTCCCCCTCCCTCCTTCAACACTGGCATGTAATCCCCCGGGCGTGTAATCTCTTACTACTTTCTCTAACATTCAAAATGGCCTTTGAACAACAAAAGAAAGACATTTCTTTTCTTTTTCACGCCTATGTAAACAACTCCATTTTCGTCCCCAGAGCCCGTAGTTTCCTGGTCATAAATTTCCCATAAATAGTTTTCAGGAGAAGCAGTGTGGACACCTTGTTATCCCGTATATAGAGTATCTCGCTTTGTTAACAAATCCGCTGAATTGTATAATGTGCCTGCGAGCAAATTTGCAGCAAGTGCAACGGAAGGTCACCGAAGGGGACGGCTAGTTTAATTGTCACAATTCTATCGTATTAAATGGAAAGACAAGCGGTAAGTTCATATTAACTCATAGTACTTTTTAAAAGTGAAAATACTCCACTACTTAAAGAAAAAAGCGAGAAAACCGAGCTACTTCTGAACAGTGAAGTCGCACAGCGACACGCGGCAGTTTGTGGTGTGGTGTTTACATCCGGTCGCTTTTATTTATAACGCAACTTAACGTACGAGCCATAAAGAGTATAGAAATATAAGGAGAGTAAGATGTCGTTTGTAATATTGACTGAGACCTCGGGATACAGAGGACTAGAAATTCTAATGCAAGACTTAAACTTCTTCGTCGTGAGCTGTGTTGATATTGGTGGTGCATACATGCCCCAAATATCTAGTGCAGCAAATATAGCAATCGTTCATTAAGGAAGCCTAAAATGCGGATAATTCCTCAGATGGCAGGGAAGTTAAGAACTGATCGGAACAGATTTATCACAGACCGGACAAAATCATCAGATTAGATCACGGACTTCAAAAGTGAAAATTTTTATAGTTAAAAAAACATTGAATCCTGAAAACTTTGAAACAAATCAATAATGATAGTTATTATACATTGTAGTCATTGTAGTCTGTCTTCTCATTGGCTAAAAGCCTACAGTTAATTCTGGGAAACAGCGCAACGTACAGATTAGTGAATAATCTGTAGGTTGTGCGTGCAATGCATGATTTCCTTTATAAAGACGGTGAAAATTTGTTTATCACTCAGTTGTACATTTTTAAGTGTTTGAAAATAAACTGTGATCGCTGCGATAATGCGTTTGTCGTTATTTTCTTCAAAACAATGTATAATAAAACAATTTTTAGATTCGGTTTTTGTGATATCCGGAATGTTATCAGCCTCAGCCTTCGGCTTCAGCTGATAACACTTACCTCGACCTTGATTATTCAGGATATCACAAAAACCTCATCCAATAATTGTTTATTATCTGCTAGCTGATAACTGACTAATCTGTAGGTTGCGCTTGCAAAATGCATGATTTCTAATAACAATATCCATTCAGGTTCCTTGCTATGGTATGTTTATCATTATTTTCTTCAAAACAATGTATAGTAAAACAGTTATTAGATTCGGTTTTGTGACACCCTAAATAATCAAGGTCTCAGTAAGTGCCATCAGCCTCGGCCTTCGATTTGGCTGATACACTTACCTTGACCTTGATTATTCTGGACATCACAAAAACCTCATCCAATAATTGTTTAAAATAATAATAATAAATTAATAATAATAATAATCAATTCCAAGCATCTCCATCCCCTCAGAGCATTTGTCATTTTTTTTTCTTCTGTTTTTCTTCTTTATTTTTAAGTTTTTTTGGGTTTCATGTTGTTTAGTTATATGATACCCCACAAGGAAGCGAATTCCTTAACACTGATTACTCTTTGTCCCCATCAAAACGCCTCTAAGGACTGGAACAGCTTAGACAATGACATTAAAAACAGCAAAACATTGTCCTTCTTTAAGGCAAAGCTTAAAACTTTGTAAATAATGCCCTATCTAATTGTTAAACTATATTTATATGTTATTTTACGTCAATTTTTATCTCTTTTCGTAGTTTTTAATTTTTAAAGTAGGTGAATTTGTCGTTGTTGTTGTTGTCATTTTGTCATTTCTGATTTGCAGGGCCCCACTGAAAACCACTAAGGCAAGTGGGCTCCCTGGATAAATATTATTATTATTATAAGATAATTATTATTATCATAACCTCATCCTTGTGGTCCTTTGCAGAGTTCCCTACTTGTCCCAGGTCCCTGTTTAGGGGATGACAAATGACAGGTGCATAAATCTGACAATGAAAATATTACATGTGGCATATGCAATGTCGTTTTCTGCGTTCACTTTTATTTTTACTTTATGCAAATGTTTTCTTAAATTGTACTGGTAAGCTTTCAGTGCTGAGTTTTACTGATGATACTGTAACGTTTCTAAAAGACTTGCCTAGCCTTGCCCGAGGACTTCAGGGTGATAATCACGGGCAGTTCGTTGAGAGAGTGTAGACAGCCTTTTTTGCAGTGTAGAGACGTTGTAGTTGTTATGGAATCCTGCCCCCCCCCCTGCTTCCCTTGGCTGATCCCTATTACAAACTCCTGGGAATTCATGAATTAGGCAATATAATTATATATAAATTCCAATATTCTGTCTTACATGTAAGTTGTTTTGTTCAGCTGAATAAAGTTTAGTTTTGTGCTGCCAGCAGCACTTTAAAGAGTGAATGGCAATAGAGAGGGGAAATGTTACATCTCGTAACCATAGTAGCAAAAGTTATGGATCTACCAGTAAACAATCTTTTTTGACAGAAACTGCTATATGCGTGGTCGAACAATGGAAGAAAAGTATGGGCTGCAGTTTGGTTCCTGAGTGCAGTCATGCACAGCAAAGTCATGCATGTCCATGTCTTTCGTTTTTATCCGCCATATTTGCGGGACCAAAAATTTGCTCCCATGGCAACGTAACGGGACGACTTCTCCCTCTTATGACACCTTTCGCCATTTGCACATCTCCCATAAGGCATCTTGTTTGCCCCCCAAAACTTTGCATAACCTTTGTTTTTGATTTCTCCTGAGTATTACAGTGGTCCCAAGAGAAATAAAAGGGAATACTTACGCAAAATTTCCGGGGGCAAACAAGGTGCACTATTGGAGATTTGCAAATGGCCAAGTAAACAATCCTGATTAACGAGATCAACGAGAACGTAACAAAAGCAATAGTTTTAGCCATTAAAACTACAACAAAGCACGTGCGTCACCCTTTTTGGTGTATTCCTTTGATTCCCACTGTACGGCTGCGACGCAAAACCTTTAGGAGGACGTTAACACCCGACGACGTTTTTTTTTTTTCATTATCGAGTTGGGTACGGTCGTTTGGATTACAGCTGTACAAAATTCGCTCACATTTGGTAAATTGAATGAAGATGAATTATCCCGAAAAAGCAAGACTGAAAAAGCTCGAATTATATCTTAGTAAAGTCTTTACTGTCGTTGTCACCATGGATGCTTTCTTTAAAGGGGTGGACACCATAAAAAAGAGTCAGCCGCGGCGAATAACTCATTTATCCTGTTGTCTTGCAGCTTTCTCTTAAGAGTCTGTCTTTCAATTATTTGACCACACCTAACAAAGAAAGTGGTTTTAGCAGCTTACAATCAGCTTGCATCAAAGGAGATGTCGATACCGTCTTGGCGATCTTAAATCTCAGCCCAGATAAACTTGACAGTGCCATTGCTCTGAGTGTCAAGATTGGTCCAAATGCACCCCATTTTCCAGGTAAATCTATTTTAACGGTGTTAAAACATCAAGACACGGAAAAGCATAAGGACATCCTTGAAACAGTTTCAAAGGTTACAGAGCATTTTCAATCTCAATCACTTCTACACCTGGCTGCCAAAAAGGGAAATGTTGAACATGTTCGCAGACTTCTTGATGCTGGTGAACCTGTTGACGCCATGTACTCATGCTCAGATCAACGAGAAGATGAAAAGACTCCCTTAATGTTTGCCGCGGAGTTTAATGAGGTAGACGTTGTCGAATTTCTTATCCAAAGAGGTGCTTCACTTGAGGTGACGGATCGTGGAAGCATGACTCCTTTTCTCCATGCTGTTAGTGGACGAAGAATGCAAAATGTGAAGCGCTTGGTTGAACTTGGAGCAAATGTGCTAAAAAAGACGCGCCGTGGAATGTCGGCAATTCATGTCGCTGCTGGACAGGGTAACAAAGACGCTGTGTTCTTTTTGCTGGAACGCGGTGCAAGTGCAGACCAGCAAGGTTTTTATGGTCTCACTCCCCTTATGTTGGCCGCAAGAAAAGGTTGCCTCGACACCGTCAAGCTATTGCTTTCCAAAGGAGCAAATTTAAATGGCTGTACACAGGGTGGCGACACGCCATTACTTTTTGCCGCTAAAGAAAATCATACAGATTTAGTCAAATTTCTTTTTAAGAAAAAAGCGAATCTTTTTGCAAAAAAATCATATGGAGAAACAGTACTTCATTTGGCCACGCAACTGGATCTGGTTAGTTTCCTTTGTGACCAAGGTGCTAATATTCATGCGAAGGATAGTTGGGGGAAAACGCCTCTTCACGCGGCCGCTGAGAAGGGACAATCTGACACAGTTCGGTACCTTTTAGAGCGCGGAGCTGATATCAATTCAAATGATGACAGGGGCCATACAGCTTTGTATTATGCCATCCTGGAAAACCATGCTTCTGCTGCAAAAGTTCTGATTGAGAGTGGTTGTGAAGTGAAGCTGACTTTCAAAGGGGGTCATTTTGTCGATGAGGGCGAGGTTCTGGAAACAGCTGCTCGTAAGGGGTTTTCTGGTATTCTCAAACTTCTCCTGGACAAAGGTGTACCTGTGGAGGCCGTCAGTAGAGATGGAACAACACCTCTGATGGCAGCAGCCGAGGCTGGACATTGTGAAGTGGTGAATGTTCTCCTCGATCATGGAGCAAACATCAATGGTTTTCGTTTTCGAAACTTTAAAAACGAGAAACACGAGATTGTATATGATAAAGGACGAGACGGTGAAGGCAGTGACAACGAGAAAGAAGAACCTGAACTTGCCAACACCAAGACACCACTGTATTGCGCCCTAGAAGCTGGAAGAGGTGATGTAGCTAGACTTCTGATTGAACGAGGGGCTGATACCTCTGACCCTAGTGGAAACACCTCTTCGCTTTCCGAATTGGCTGCCACGCGCGGCCTTTCAGATGTTTTTCGCCTTCTTACCAAGGAGAAGAGTTTTGATTTTAACAAAATCAAAGATGATGGGGAGACCTTACTGACATCAGCAGCTACTAGCGGAAAGTATGATTCAGTAAAATTCCTACTTGACAATGGTGCTGAAGTAAACGTAAAGAACGCTTCAGGGGACACAGCTCTTTCTTGTGCTGTTCAGTCCTGTGCGGTTCCAGATTTGGAAATTGTTAGACTTCTCCTCGCGCATGGTGCCGCTGTCAACACTAGGAATGACCGCTGTGAAACACCTCTTCTTATCGCTGTAGAGAAGAATGCTGACAAAGTTGCTAATCTTCTTATTGAGCATGGATGTGAAACGAACAGTAAAAACGTCGGTTATTTCTCCGCTCTACACTTTGCTGCTCAATACAACAATGGAAAGCTCATTGAGAAGCTGCTTCAGCATAGTGCTGACCCTAGTTTAAAAACTGATGATGAAGGCATGACTCCTTTGCACGTGGCTGCAAAATCAGGGAGTGTCCTCGCAGCCGACGTATTGCTAGAACACGGTGCTGATTTAGATAGCACAACTCACTTGGGGGAAACTCCCCTTCTGTTAGCAGCCCAAGAGAAAAAATTTGCTATGGTTTACTTCTTAGCAGAGAAAGGAAGTAATGTTGATGTAAAAAGCAGTTTTGGAAAGACAGTTCTTATGAATGTCGCCATAGGTTATAGAGATGTAAAAACGTTTTCACTGGCTAAAACGTTGTTGGAGCTTGGCAGCTCTGTAAATGCAACTGACGAGTTTGGACGGTCTGTTCTGCATTATATGTCTTGCGGTGGCAATTCAGAGAGGGAATTCTACAACCTCCTTCTGAGTCATGGGGGAAATGTTAATCTTCCAGATAGAAACATGGAGACGCCTTTGCACTTTGCAGCATCTGATGGAAACACTGCTTTAATAGAATGGCTCCTTGAGCAGGGCGCAGACGTGAGAGCATTGGACAGGAAAAATCGCAGTCCGCTTCATTCAGCTGCCTACAGGGGTTGCAGCATCTCCGTGCAGTTGTTGATCCAAAATGGAGCTGAAATTCACCTTGCTGACAACAAAGGGTGGCTGCCTTTGCACCTTGCTGCTGCTGGAGGGCACAGAACGACTTTTGAAGTTTTGCTTCAAAATGGAAGTGATGTCACACTTGTGGACAGGAAAGGAAGAACGTGCCTTCATCTTGTCGCAAAATATGGTCCATGTGGTTGGGAAGAGTTGTTTGAACTTTTGAACATTCATGGCGGCAACATTAATGCCAAAGATTTTAGTGGACAAACAGTATTCGGGGCGTCACTAACTCCCAAGAAATACATAGATGAACACCATTTTTTTACAAGGTTCCTTCAACTGTACATGGAGAATGGGGGTGACGTACATGCTGTTGACTTGGTGACTGGTCGAACAACTCTTCATGTTGCTGCAGCCTGTTCCCTTACTGATATTGCCGACAATCTTTTAGATGAAGGATTGAACCTTGAAGCAAGAGACAAGAACGGAGACACACCTTTACACAGGGCATCGGCACGGGGGACTCCCGATATGATCCAGGGACTTGTAGAGAAAGGAGCTGACCTGTCTGCTGTCAATAAAAGAGGTCAAACGCCATTGCTGGTCTGTGTTGCTCTCAACGTCTCTACAGAGGGATCCACTGTTTTAATAGAAAATGGAGGTGACGTAAATACTGCAGATAACAGTGGTAACACAGCTCTCCACTACGCCGTTAGACGTGGCCAGAATTTTCTGGACATGCTGATCAAGAATGGTGCAGATGTTAATGCCGTCAACTCAGTCGGATGCACTCCGCTCCACGTAACCGCTGGGTATGCAAAGTCGGCAGAAGCTATTAATGTTCTTTTAAGTGCAGGTGGCGATGTCCATTGTCGCGATAAGCAAGGGAATACGCCACTACACTTGGCTGCTGCAGAGGGCAACTATAACACCGCTGCAGTTCTCATAGAGAAAGGAAGCGACGTTCACGCTACAAACTTAAAAGGAGAAACGTGCGCACACATGATGGTGTTCGCACCCGAAGGAATGGTAGAAAAAACCATAGTTGGTGGTGGACAAGGTAACGCTGTTGATGATTTGGGCAGCAGTCCTCTTCATCTTGCTCTGCTATCAGGAAGGTGGCTGGTCGCAAAGTGTCTGCTGAAGCACGGCAGTGATCCTAATGCTGTTGATTACAAAGGCAGTACTCCACTTCATGTTGGCTGCTCCTCAGGAAGCAAATCAGCCGTGTCATTTTTGATCGATCGTGGAGGGTAAGATATATGTTGGTTTAGAAATATTTCTATAGTGATTTAAAGGGAATGTGTCACGAAATGTATTTCAATGCAATCAATGGGAATTGTCACCAAATTTAGTGAAACATAAAAATAAAAAGAAGGTATAAACAACACAACAAATACAAAGGGAGGCATGGATGAGCATGGTTTTTAAAAACTTAGAGTGTTGCAGTCTTTCAAAGTTCATTTTTGCTGTAAGGTTTGATATTATCAGGCTTAGGAGACATATTTGTATGACTCAAGGCTCAAGTTTCATAGCGAATAAGGACGCGTAACTGGCTTGATTATGGTAAAGAAACTGAACTCGCCAGCCATGACTTCGCAACAACGATTTTTTAGGGCAATACAGTGTTGCAACATTGTTGCGATATTGATTCAAGTGGTTGCAACATTGTTCCAACATTCCAATGCCGCGTTGAGCAAAAAATCGTCGTTGCGAGTCGTCCCCAGTAACATCACCTTTAAGTGACTTGAGCAGATGGCAAGACAATGAAGCATTATTGTCTTTGCCTGTTCTTGTTGGTTGCATTGCTTGTGCATTGAATTTACAATCGCCGGAAGTTTTTCCCTATTTACAGTGCCGGGTCACAGAATTTACATATAGGAAAATACTATCTGAGCTTCAAAGAGCAAGAGTGTTTTCGTGACCACTGGGGATGCTTGAGCATTAATCTATCAAAGGGAAATACCTTAAACATCCGCTTATACAACTTCGTAAGGGGTTTAATGAGGGCTTATAGACGGGCGGGAAAGGCAAGGGGTGCTGAAAAACCGACTAAAAAGGCGCTTCACAAGAAGCTACATAGCACTGCTTTAATCGCTTTTTTAAGTTCCAAAACGTCGTAAACAAATCGATACAAGCTAGAGGGGGCTTATATCCGGGGGAGGATTATGTCCGGGTGCATTTTTTTGTTTACGGGTAGATGGGCCTATTACTGGGGGGAGGAGGTATACTGGGGGTATAAGTGGTGGAGCTTAGCGGAAGTTAACGGTATTGGCTAACCTTTTTCTGGGTGTAAAGCTTGAAAACCCATTACAATTTATTGTCCACCATATTTCTAAGTGTTGTCCTTTCTCTTGCATTTGTTTTTCAGTCATCTCGAAGCACGGGACGCCAAAGGCTGTACGCCACTTCACATCTGTGCTGTGTTCAATCAGACGAACACCGCAAAACTTCTTCTCGACCGCGGAGCAAGTTTGGAGGCAAGAGACAATGAAGAAAGTACTCCATTACATCTCGCTTCAGCTTTTAGTGATGCAGACATGGTGTCATTGCTTGTGAAGCATGGGGCAAACGTGAAGGGAAAAGATTCTGAAGGAAGTGTAGCTCTTCACACAGCTGCTGCTCTCGGTAGAATGGACATCACACGGGTCCTGATTGATGCTGGAAGTGACGTCAATGCACGTGATGCAAATGGAAATACACCGCTACATGTGTCGGCAAGCTCTGGCAAGTTGGAAGTGGCTCGTTTATTGCTGGATGAGAAAGCGGATATGAATGCAGTTAACAATGATGGGGTTTCACCAGTTGGTTGTGCTGAAGCATTTGGTCACAAAAAGGTAAAGCGGTTCATAGAAAAAAAGATGCTGCATGGGTGATTGACGTCGTGCCAGTTAAGGGAATGTGATAACTTTCACCCTCTACCTATCTAGTATCAAATTACAAGTTAGACGTTCGAGGTTCGTGAAAATCTGCTCTACCTGCAAATAACAGGATTATTCCAGGTGGGTAGAGCAAATCAGACAGGGTCACACAGTGGTGGATCCAGGGGAGGGGCCCGGGGGGCCCGCTCCCTTATTTTAGACCAAAACAAGAGAGAATGAGCTAAGAGAGCGAATCCCTGTGCCTTAGATCATTCTCTCTTGACCAAACTGAGGGCCAAAGGGCCGAAAAAAATGTTTTTGGAGACCGCCCCCCCCCCCCCCTCCGCGCCTATCCGGCACTGTTACATACCCTAATAGCCTGTGTACAGACACCCCCCTCCCCTAAGAAAAAATCCGTGGGGAGAGAGACTCTATCCCCGATTTTTCTGAAGGGGAAGGGGGCGTCTGTACACAGGCTAATGCATTAAGGGCCAGATATTTAAACGGAGGTTTGCCAGTGTTTAACAAAACTCGGCGCTCTAAGCCAGTTTCATTTTTTTGCCAAACTCTTTTATGTAAACACCATTTATCGTGAACAGTTTCATGAGCATATGGCATATTCTAGAAAAGCATTTGTCTTCTTAAAATAACCCACATAGGAAGACATCTGGAGGTCCAAAGATTTCCTAAACCGCGGTCTAAGTGAGACGTCGTTTAAAATTACTCACCCTAATAGTCTAAATACTTGTAATTACTTGTAGTACTTATCCAAGGGATAGCGATTTATCCGGCGGTTAACGCTATCTAACTTTGAACTGCGGCTGAAGTATATATGGTTTCTTACAACGTAGTTGTACAGTATTATGTAGACAGTGTAAGTACATATATAGTTATTAATTCTATCCAGCGACATAATGCTGGAGGTATCCGTCTAGCTGTTAAGTGGGGTGACGATAAAGGGGTGTCTGGGTATAAATGGGTAACAAATGCCTTTTTGCGACGACAATGTTCACAATTATAAATTCGGCATTGCTCATCTCAGTATCGTCAAAACCGTTCCATTTTTAAATAATATTTTTAAACCGGGTACCATTTCATCCAATTTGAATAGAATTGAAGTCGGTAATGGAAAGTCCTTGAATTTCAATGCTAACTTAATAGTTTAAGGAGAATTGCAAGGGAAACGGAGAAAACACAAAGATCTTCGGGATAAAATGCTCCTGATGTGGAAGAACTAAAAGCTCAAGGCTCTTTTTTTGCATTGTATGTAGTCCTTTAAAAATGCAAAATGTGTCCTTGAAAAGTCCTTGAATTTTTTGTTCAAAAAAGGGTACGAACCCTGTAGAAAATGAGCGCAGTTACACTAACGTTTCACACCCTTTTTTAGCAACAAATTTCCATGTCCAAACAATATATATTTATGACGGGCAGTGTTTCATTCAATTTCAAGAAACCTGAAGTTTAAAGAATAGAAAAAGAGCCCGGGCACATTAACTTTTTACACCCTTTTTTACCAACAAACAAACAACACTTGTTTATGTTACAAGCCCCACCCAAAAATAGCGTGGCTAATCGTGTTGCGTGGGTAGTTTTTAGCCGTCTTTGAGATATGTGGACAACGTTTAATGGATTGGGCTCTGACTTCACAGTGAGTAACATCAGGTCCGGTTGCGTTTCAAACTTTAAAAGTGATGAAGCGAGTGGAAGCAGAATGGGAAGGACGAGAAAACTAACTATTTTTGTCTTAGATTATTTACAAAATTTGAAATTAAAATAACGAGTTTAAAATAACGATTTAAAGGTAACACATCCACTTAGTGGTTCACTGTCTACCTGATTCCTCGTAGACTTTGAATTTCGAAAAGTTGGGTTCTGTGGAGAGGGGAAAACCAGAGTACCTGGAGAGAAAGCTCTCGAAGCAAAGGAGAGAACCAACATCTAAAAATAACTTAAAACCTGTCAAACCGATTATGCCATCTGAATGACGGTACCTAAACACTCATTTTTTGGCTCTGTAAGATTTAACAGTTCAATTTTAGCAGGAACCGGGCTCGTGAATTTAGGCATTTTAACACTAACACCTGGGTGGGAAAATGAAATCAAGGAAAGTACTGAAAAAAGCTTTGAAATCGAAGTGGATCAGTGAGCTTTGAAATGCAGCTATCCTACCACAAAAGCTTCAACCTGCATAACCTTTCACTGGGCACGTTTTAAAGAGTGAAGCATAACACAATAGGCACTTGCTATTTAGGAAAATGGAAATAAGTGGCCAAATATTCTGAAGTGTCACTCAGAAGTTTTTTTATGCCTCAAAAATTGAAAAGTCCTGTTGCTATTTTTAGTCTTTGTCTCTGCTGACTACGGTGAACGCGTCACGAAATCACGTGCAAGTCTTAAGGGTAAATCGAGGGTGAACGTGAGAAGGAAAATAAAATCAAGCAAAAAAACTAAAAAAAACTTTGATTTCCAATCGGATGTGATTTAATTAAAAGTATCACAGCTACGTTTGTATTTGTAACGCAATTCAGTCTGCGGACTGCCATGTTCGATATTTTTTAATAAACTATCTATCGAACAAGACAAAATACTTTTGTTATTTAGCGAGTTGAAAATTAGTGACCGCAGTGAACGTAAACCCGTTATGAGAATCATGCGCCACCCTTGAGGGTAATTCTGAGGAGGAAAATGAAATCAAGGAAATAACTGCAGTTTGGCCCCGAAGTTTATTTTTGTCTCAGAAACTGAAAACCCCCTCGTGCCTATTGTAGCCTTTTAGTAGGAGCTATTCCAACTGACCATAGTGAACGCGTCATGAGAATCACATGCCTTATATCCTTGAGGGTAAACTTTAGTTGGAAAATGAATGTCTACAGTGTATAGTAAAAAATTCGCTCGGAGCACGTGACCCGAAACGCATAAGCCGCGCTCAATATGGGGGCCTTGGGCCGCCTGGGATCGATCGGAAGGTTGGATTTTAATGACAGACAAGTTGCGCGGTCCCTAACACTCCCCCGATGCATGATGCGGAAGTTACGCTTTCCACAACAATACCATACATATTTCTCGGCCTCCAGAGGTGCCTCAGCCTTGTCCCCAGGGCTTTTGAGGAATTAACGAGCTCCTCCCAAAAGTGTACAGCCCTGGGACGAGGTTTGAGCTGCCTCATATTTCACATTTATTTTCCACAGACCACAAAAAGGGGTAACAAAGATTAGAGGAGAAAGGGAGATCATCACGAGAATTCCACCCACTTTTCTTGTTAGTCCCGGGGGGTACTCCCCATAATTTATTTTGAGGGGGTGCTCACCACGAAGGGGTTCTCTTTTCAGCCCTTGGGGTGCATAAAACGGTAGCGATTTCACAAGCCGAGAGGAATAATCGGCAAGGTCAAAGGACATCTCCCTCTTAATGAATCTGCCATTTAGGTTCTTCCATAAATTGGTTGTTCACAGTACTATTTAAGTGGGTTTATCATAAGCAAAGTGAGTCAAAGTGGGATCAATAACAAGCGCGTTTCCGTGGGTACATGACATTTCCCGTGGAATGTACAAAGGCTCTTACCTTCGTGGTAAATAGTAGGGTATAAAGGAAAAGGTCTGAACCTCCGTGGACTCTATACGGAGTTTGAGATGCCTCCCCCCACCCCTTCAACACTGGCATGTAATCCTTCAGGCGTGTAATCTCTAACTACACTTTCTAACTAGCCTGAGTAACAGGCCTTCCTAAGGCCAGGGAAGAGAAGATTTTAGCTACTGTGTAACATACAAAATGGCCTTTGAACAACAAAAGAAAGACAAATTTATTTTCACGCCTGCGTAAGCAACCCAAAATAGTTTTCAGGAGAAGCAGTGTGGTCATACCCTTTTATAGACTTTTTATACGGTACATAGTAGCCTGCCACGCAGACGTTCTTAGAGGTTCGTCACGCTTTCCTGCCCCACGAACGTTCGTGGGGCAGGAACGCGTGACGAACTGCGTGGGAGGCTAGTTACATAGAGCATCTGGCTGGGTAAGTGAAATCCGCTGAGTTGTATTGATGTGCCTGCGAGTAACAGCAAGTGCGTCCGAGTACAAGGGATCGTCCACTCCAATTGCCACAATTCCATCGGAATGGCCAGACAAGTGGTAAGTTCTCATTAATTCACAGTACTTTTTCAAATTGAAAATATCCCACTACTTAAAGAAAAGAGCGAGAAAACCTTAGCTACTTCTGACCAGTGAAGTCGCACACTCAGTAGTTTTTTTGTGTGATGTTTACTTCCGGTCGCCTTTACTTGTAACGCAACTTAGCGTGCGATTCATAAAGAGTATGAAAATATTAGGAGGGTGAGATGTTGTTTGTAACGATGACTGAGAACTCAGGGATAAAGAGGACTAGAAATTCCAATTGATGCAAGATTTAAACTTCTTCGTCATGAGCTGTGTTGATATTGGTGTCTTGGTTTTCACATGACGTCAACAAAAATTAAAACTAAGAAACTATTGCTTCTTCTGAGTTTCTACTTTCATGTGGTATTTCAGCACCTTAAAACCTTTATACAAACAAATTTTCGGTTCAAAAGGGTTCTTCGTTTTGCGACACTAGACGCTTTAATTTTCTAACTCTGAAAGGGACACAAACATGTCGTCTCCATATAAAACTTTATAATTTGGGTAAAACGTTTCTCGGAATATTTAGCATATGAAGTATTGTACGGACCTGATTCTTGTCAAGGCTTTTTGTATATTTATCTTCTCTCATTTCCCAGATTCTAGACTTTCTGTATTAAAAGGTTTCTATTTTTAATTTTGATGGCGTGACAGTGAAAACCACCAATTAACTGCCCCTAAATATCTAGTTCAGCAAATGTAGTAGTAATCGTTCATCAATAGGAAGCCTAAAATGCAGATAATTCCATACATGGCAAGGAAGTTAGGAGCTGATCGGATCAGATTTGTCAAAGACCGGACAAACATCAGATTCGATCATGGACTTCAAAAACGAAAATACCTGTAGTTAAAAAAACATTGAACCTGAAAACTTTAAAACAAACAAACAAACAAAATAACAATAATAATAATAATCAATCAAGAAAACAGGTGTTTGTATTATGACTCA